CAAGATATGTTTTAAAATGCAATTTAAAGCATTTTTGGTTCCGATCATAGTAGGCTATTTTCAAAAAAAATATCGATTTTATGTCTATATTAGCATTCTTTATCATTTATAATACAAAGATATGTTTTAAAATGCAATTTAAAGCATTTTTGGTTTCGATCATAGTAGGCTATTTTCAAAAAAATATTGATTTTATGTCTATATTAGCATTCTTTATCATTTATAATACCAAGATATGTTTTAAAATGCAATTTAAAGCATTTTTGGTTTCGATCATAGTAGGCTATTTTCAAAAAAATATCGATTTTATATCTATATTAGCATTCTTATTCATTTATAATATTTAGATATGTTTTAAAATGCAGTTTAAAGCATTTTTGGTTTCGATCATAGTAGGCTATTTTCAAAAAAATATCGATTTTATATCTATATTAGCATTCTTATTCATTTATAATACCTAGATATGTTTTACAATGCAATTTAAAGCATTTTTGGTTTCGATCATAGTAGGCTATTTTCAAAAAAATATTGATTTTATGTCTATATTAGCATTATTTATTATTTATAATGCCAAGATATGTTTTACAATGCAATTTAAAGCATTTTTGGTTTTGATCATAGTAGGCTTTTTTCAAAAAAATATCGATTTTATGTCAATATTAGCATTATTTATTATTTATAATGCCAAGATATGTTTTACAATGCAATTTAAAGCATTTTTGGTTTTGATCATAGTAGGCTATTTTCAAAAAAATATTGATTTTATGTCTATTTAAGCATTCTTTATTATTTATAATGCCTAGATATGTTTTAAAATGCAATTTAAAGCATTTTTGGTTCCGATCATAGTAGGCTATTTTCAAAAAAAATATCGATTTTATGTCTATATTAGCATTCTTTATCATTTATAATACCAAGATTTGTTTTAAAATGCAATTTAAAGCATTTTTGGTTTCGATCATAGTAGGCTATTTTCAAAAAAATATCGATTTTATGTCTATATTAGCATTCTTTATCATTTATAATGCAAAGATATGTTTTAAAATGCAATTTAAAGCATTTTTGGTTTCGATCATAGTAGGCTATTTTCAAAAAAATATCGATTTTATATCTATATTAGCATTCTTATTCATTTATAATACCTAGATATGTTTTACAATGCAATTTAAAGCATTTTTGGTTTCGATCATAGTAGGCTATTTTCAAAAAAATATCGATTTTATATCTATATTAGCATTCTTATTCATTTATAATACCTAGATATGTTTTACAATGCAATTTAAAGCATTTTTGGTTTCGATCATAGTAGGCTATTTTCAAAAAAATATTGATTTTATGTCTATATTAGCATTCTTTATCATTTATAATACCAAGATATGTTTTAAAATGCAATTTAAAGCATTTTTGGTTCCGATCATAGTAGGCTATTTTCAAAAAAATATCGATTTTATGTCTATATTAGCATTCTTTATCATTTATAATACCAAGATATGTTTTAAAATGCAATCTAAAGCATTTTTGGTTTCGATCATAGTAGGCTATTTTCAAAAAAATATCGATTTTATATCTATATTTGCATTCTTATTCATTTATAATACCTAGATATGTTTTAAAATGCAGTTTAAAGCATTTTTGGTTTCGATCATAGGAGGCTATTTTCAAAAAAATATCGATTTTATATCTATATTAGCATTCCTTATCAATTATAATACCAAGATATGTTTTAAAATGCAATTTAAAGCATTTTTGGTTTTGATCATAGTAGGCTTTTTTCAAAAAAATATCGATTTTATGTCTATATTAGCATTATTTATTATTTATAATGCCAAGATATGTTTTACAATGCAATTTAAAGCATTTTTGGTTTTGATCATAGTAGGCTTTTTTCAAAAAAATATCGATTTTATGTCAATATTAGCATTATTTATTATTTATAATGCCAAGATATGTTTTACAATGCAATTTAAAGCATTTTTGGTTTTGATCATAGTAGGCTTTTTTCAAAAAAAAAATCGATTTTTTGTCTATTTTAGCATTCTTTATCATTTATAATACCAAGATAGTTTTAAAATGCAATTTAAAGCATTGTTGGTTTCGATCATACATAGTAGGCTTTTTTTAAAAAAAAATCGATTTAATGTCTATTTTAGCATTCTTTATCATTTATAATACCAAGATTTGTTTTAAAATGCAATTTAAAGCATTTTTGGTTTCGATCATAGTAGGCTATTTTCAAAAAAATATCGATTTTATGTCTATATTAGCATTCTTTATCATTTATAATACCAAGATATGTTTTAAAATGCAATTTAAAGCATTTTTGGTTCCGATCATAGTAGGCTATTTTCAAAAAAATATCGATTTTATGTCTTTATTAGCATTCTTTATCATTTATAATACCAAGATATGTTTTAAAATGCAATTTAAAGCATTTTTGGTTCCGATCATAGTAGGCTATTTTCAAAAAAATATCGATTTTATGTATATATTAGCATTCTTTATCATTTATAATACCAAGATATGTTTTAAAATGCAATTTAAAGCATTTTTGGTTCCGATCATAGTAGGCTATTTTCAAAAAAATATCGATTTTATATCTATATTAGCATTCTTATTCATTTATAATACCTAGATATGTTTTAAAATGCAATCTAAAGCATTTTTGGTTTCGATCATAGAAGGCTATTTTCAAAAATATATCGATTTTATGTCTTTATTAGCATTCTTTATCATTTATAATACCAAGATTTGTTTTAAAATGCAATTTAAAGCATTTTTGGTTCCGATCATAGTAGGCTTTTTTCAAAAAAATATCGATTTTATGTCTATATTAGCATTCTTTATCATTTATAATATCTAGATATGCTATAAAATGCAATTTAAATCATTTTTGGTTTCGATCATGGTAGGCTATTTTCAAAAAAATATCGATTTTATATCTATATTAGCATTCTTATTCATTTATAATACCTAGATATGTTTTAAAATGCAATCTAAAGCATTTTTGGTTTCGATCATAGAAGGCTATTTTCAAAAATATATCGATTTTATGTCTTTATTAGCATTCTTTATCATTTATAATACCAAGATTTGTTTTAAAATGCAATTTAAAGCATTTTTGGTTTCGATCAAAGTAGGCTATTTTCAAAAAAATATCGATTTTATGTCTTTATTAGCATTCTTTATCATTTATAATACCAAGATATGTTTTAAAATGCAATTTAAAGCATTTTTGGTTCCGATCATAGTAGGCTATTTTCAAAAAAATATCGATTTTATGTCTATATTAGCATTCTTTATCATTTATAATACAAAGATATGTTTTAAAATGCAATTTAAAGCATTTTTGGTTCCGATCATGGTAGGCTATTTTCAAAAAAAATATCGATTTATATCTATATTAGCATTCTTTATCATTTATAATACCTAGATATGTTCTGAAAGGCAATTTTAAGCATTTTTGGTTTCGATCATAGTAGGCTATTTTCAAAAAAATATCGATTTTATATCTATATTAGCATTCTCATTCATTTATAATACCTAGATATATTTTGAAATGCAATTTAAAGCATTTTTGGTTTCGATCATAGGAGGCTATTTTCAAAAAAATATCGATTTTATGTCTATATTAGCATTCTTTATCATTTATAATACAAAGATATGTTTTAAAATGCAATTTAAAGCATTTTTGGTTCCGATCATAGTAGGCTATTTTCAAAAAAATATCGATTTTATGTCTATATTAGCATTCTTTATCATTTATAATACAAAGATATGTTTTAAAATGCAATTTAAAGCATTTTTGGTTCCGATCATAGTAGGCTATTTTCAAAAAAATATCGATTTTATGTCTATATTAGCATTCTTTATCATTTATAATACAAAGATATGTTTTAAAATGCAATTTAAAGCATTTTTGGTTTCGATCATGGTAGGCTATTTTCAAAAAAAATATCGATTTATATCTATATTAGCATTCTTTATCATTTATAATACCTAGATATGTTCTGAAAGGCAATTTTAAGCATTTTTGGTTTCGATCATAGTAGGCTATTTTCAAAAAAATATCGATTTTATATCTATATTAGCATTCTTATCATTTATAATACCTAGATATATTTTGAAATGCAATTTAAAGCATTTTTGGTTTCGATCATAGGAGGCTATTTTCAAAAAAATATCGATTTTATGTCTATATTAGCATTCTTTATCATTTATAATACAAAGATATGTTTTAAAATGCAATTTAAAGCATTTTTGGTTCCGATCATAGTAGGCTATTTTCAAAAAAATATCGATTTTATATCTATATTAGCATTCTTATTCATTTATAATACCAAGATATGTTTTAAAATGCAATTTAAAGCATTTTTGGTTTCGATCATAGTAGGCTATTTTCAAAAAAATATCGATTTTATTTCTATATTAGTATTCTTTATCATTTATAATACAAAGATATGTTTTAAAATGCAATTTAAAGCATTTTTGGTTCCGATCATAGTAGGCTATTTTCAAAAAAATATCGATTTTATGTCTATATTAGCATTCTTTATCATTTATAATACAAAGATATGTTTTAAAATGCAATTTAAAGCATTTTTGGTTTCGATCATAGGAGGCTATTTTCAAAAAAATATCGATTTATATCTATTTTAGCATTCTTTATCATTTATAATACAAAGATATGTTTTAAAATGCAATTTAAAGCATTTTTGGTTCCGATCATAGTAGGCTATTTTCAAAAAAAATATCGATTTATATCTATATTAGCATTCTTTATCATTTATAATACCTAGATATGTTTTGAAAGGCAATTTTAAGCATTTTTGGTTTCGATCATAGTAGGCTATTTTCAAAAAAATATCGATTTTATATCTATATTAGCATTCTTATTCATTTATAATACATAGATATGTTTTAAAATGCAATTTAAAGCATTTTTGGTTTCGATCATAGTAGGCTATTTTCAAAAAAAAAATATCAATTTTATGTCTATATGAAATTAATATCTTTCGGGGATTTTACACCTCATGTTTATAAAGGACAATGTGTCAACGGTTAATATTCAAAATTATTTCTAGGGTTCATAACATTGTCACGTGCCCTAAAAATAACGGTTATCTATACTCAGCGTGGAAGAAATTGCCGCTCAAAAAGTGTAAGTAAACATTAGCTAAATATCATAGATACAGTGCCTTACTGAGTGTATAATTCAATTATAGTCTGTTGTTTTGTGTATAAAAGTGATCCAATACAAAAGAACCTGTAAAATATAAGGATATTCGTCAATTTTTGACTTCCCAAAAACAGTAGTTCTCAAAAAATAGAATAAGATATGAGCGAAGATGAAGAGTACAGTGATGGAATGGACGATGCTGAAGAGTTTATAACACCGCAAGAAGTGAGTAAAATTAAATTCCGCATGTCTATACAGCAATCTTAATATACATTTTTGACATCCATAGCTGTTACGAAAAATAGAGATTGCGTGGATGAATGAGCAGTCTGGTAAGTCTTTGACAACTAAAATCTAATGGATTTCATGAATTAGAGTTTTCTTTACAGCCCCAGACATGCTACCGTATCAAAATGAAATGATTGAATTAATGATGGGACAATTATCGCATATGGAAGAGAATCTACAAGCAATTCCATCAAACGACTTTCGGAAAATAGCACACAAAATGGAACTAGAAAGAATAAAGTTTATTATAGCAGCATATCTTCGATGTCGGCTTCAGAAAATTGAAGATTTTACCCAATACATTATATCTGAGGAAATGAAACGATCAGTTGAAAATAAAAGACTGTCAGAAGCTGAATCTAAATTTGCTGAGGACTATTTTGAGAGCATTGAGAAGCATTTTCAGCAATTAGCATTAAGGCATATCCCACCTCAGCAAGATGATGTATCAAAGCGAATAATTCGTCCAAATCTTATGAGTAATGTGTTTATTAAAGTCATTAAATCGTGTGGCGTTGTAGTCAATACAAATGACGAGGAAGTAGATCTTTCTGAGAATTCGGTACACATGCTACCTTACCAGCTTGTTTGTGAATTAGTCAATAAAGGTGATGTTGTTTTGATGTAAATACAAAAATTATTTATAATAATCTGAGTTCGCTTTGTAAAATATTTTTGGATTTTTTGTTATGTTTAACGATACAGCATTGCCTTGGTTACTGTATCGATTTCAATACTTTTATAGCTTTTTTCTCTCGAGTTCATAATTTCTTTAATATCAGTTATACATAATTTATTCAATGTCTTACAATTTCTATCATAATCTGGCTGAAATAGCTAGAAATGGAGGATTCGTTCTTTCGAATGAAAATATTGATGATAGTGACGTACGTATCGATTGGCGTTTTATAGGTAAGCATACCTTTTTTAAGGTATACTGATTATTATTATTATTATCATGTTGATTTTTTACAGCTGCTATTGATACTCATCGAATAATAATAGAATCAAATTTTGAGAAGCTTGACGAATGCATTCCATTTTTGATCAATTCATCATTAAGCAATTTATTAAATACAAGGATCCTAGATCCTGCTATTGGAAAGATTTTTACTTTATCACAGCTTAGTATACAGTACTTGCTATTTTGTACGAGATTTTTAGACAAGTCAGTATCAACACTACGTGAAAGTCTGTATAGCAGTCAAAAAGAGATATTAGATCTTCAAGAAAAATTAAAGGAACGAAATACGGAACTTCATCAAGCCAAGAAGAAAGCTAAAAAGCTTGAATCTAATGCATTAGAAATATATCCATGTACAAAGTGTACCAAAAATTATGAAAGTCAATTATTTCTCGATAGTCACATGTCTAGAAAGCACCGCGAGTCAAAAGATCTAGATTTAATTAATGCAATAAAGTTGGAACTAGAAGTTAAGCAACTGAAAGAAAAATTAAACTTGACAGAAAAGGAATTGATGGATTCTAAAAATGTTTCATGTGAGAAGTGCCTTGAGAACGAGAAGAGGATATTTAAAAATATTGGTAGGACTCTTGATTTAATTTCGACGGATTAGTTTTCAATCAAACTGATTATTATTGTTTATTCTGATTCAATTCAACAGGCATTCAAAGTAATTCCGAAGAAAAAGAGAAGGATGACTTGGAAAAAGAAAACACTAGCGAGAAATTTAGGGATTATAGTGAGAACATTCGACAAATGATGGCTGATCAAATGAAACAATTTCAGGAATATAAAGAATATGACGATAAAAGACACAAAGAAGAAATCTCGGAACTGAAAGCTATGCTTGACAAAGCTATGGAAACTTTAAAACAGAATGAGATTAAACGTGCTGAGCAGCAACAGTCACAGCCACTTCCAGCTCCAAGATCAATAGTTTCTTTACAGCAAAGTGAGGCACAGAAGCCAAAAGTAGTTCAACCACAACCTGAAAATGAGAACTTATGGAAAACAAGATTTAAGGAACTTGAGAAAATGTACGAACTTAATCAGCTGCAAATGACCCAGTCAATGAAGGATATAGAAAAGGCATATGCTGAAAAACTTAATAAATTAGAAATTTCAATGAAGCAGCTCAAAGATGAGAATAATAAAGGTAATAAAGTCACTGTCCAACCAGTTTCAAAAATCGTTGAAAAAGAAGTAGTCCCACGTGTCGTTATAAGAAAATCAGTAGAGACAAGTTCGAGTAGCGATGATGAAATTGTGGACGCTCCTAAGCCAATAAAGCTTGTCAGACCTGCTATTGACATCCTACCAAAAAATATTCCACAGCTGCCTCCAAAATTAAGCACATATTCAGACCAAAAATTCTCAATTCGTGAGAAAACGAAGAATAAAACTTTTTCAGCACAAAAATGGTTCAAAAAAAGATCCCACAAAAGTCAACAGCAACCAAAAGAAGTTACAGTTAAAGATAGACATAAGGCTGAAAAAATGATGAATGAACGACTTAAAGAATTTAATATTGAGCAAAAAGAGCAGCTGAATGCAAATAAAGCCGATGAAATTGAAGTGGAACTAGCGAATCGTCGTGAAATTCAAAAGAAAACCTATCCACATTTCTTTATTACTCGTAAGAAAATCAAGCAGAGAGTCGAGGAACTATTTAAGAGTCGCATAGAAAATGATGAGTCAATTACTGTTAAAGAAGATCCAGTTAATGAAAAACCCAAAAAGAAAGTTCTGTTTAATTTAGATCAAGATGATGTTCATATTAAGTCCAATGAAGATTCTGATTTCAACATTACTTCGCTAGAAGAAGATTTTAAATAAAGTAAATTTATTTTTGTACCAAAACGTGAGTTTTTACTTTTTTAAAATAATTCTGGATATTCAAAATCTACAAAAACCGTTTATAGTTGTAATAATTTTAAAGACATTAAATAAGACTTTCATGAATTAAGATCAACAGAAAAAAAATTGGTGCAAATTATTCTCATGTGGCATAATAATTAAGCCTGGATTTAATAATTTTAACACATAAGTTTACAAATAAGTTTGTCGTATAATAACTGTCGTTTAAGATTTGAACTAGCAAACTAAAGTAAAAAACAAATTGTAAAAATACCAAAACAAGAGAAAATATTTTGTGATTAGATTAAAATTGAAATTTGGTATTAAATACGCAAGATGGGACGTGATGGAGATCGACAATCGCGTTTTGGACCTCCAAACACTTACAAATCATCAAATTCGGCAGTTCCACTGATGAGTTTAAAGTCTGGAATGGCTCGAAATTCTTATGGAGATAATATATTTCCAACACAAAATTTTGGATCTTCTATGCCAAACTACAAAACTCCTGAACAGCTAGCATTCGGTATATGATTTCTACTTTCTATAATTGTTTAATAGCTTAAAATAACAAGAATTTATTACAGATAGTGAATTTAAAAAGTGGGAGAAAAGCTTTGAAGATTGGAAGAGAGTAAGTAATCCAGTGGATATGAAATTTATGTTTTTATAATCCTATTTTTTTTATCAATAAGGCATATGCAAATCATCCAGACAGAGTAGCTTATAGAGAATATGAGAAGAAGTTCCTTGATGTACGTGAAAAATTGATGGAAAAGCGCAAACAAATTTACAATGAAGGACCTGGACCTGCAACTAACTCATTTGACAATTTTTTGTCAGCTGCTGATGCTATGGCTAATTCCATTCTGTCCAAATTTGGTGATGCCCCACCACAAAAAGATTTTCGAGATGATGATCAATATAGAGGTGGATATTCTCGCGGCAATAATCGAGATGAAATGTATGGTCAAGGAAAAAGTGGAAGTTATGGACGTAATGATTCGTATGGAGGCAGAAGTGGAAGTTTTGATCGTAATTTTGGAACGAATGATCGCAGTTTTGCAGGAAATGATCGCAGTTTTGGAGGAAATGATCGCAGTTTTGCAGGAAATGATCGCAGTTTTGGAGGCAATAATCGCAGTTTTGGTTCCAATGATCGTAATTTCAATGATCGCAAGGGTAATGACAAGGGTTTTGGGATCAATGATAGGGGTTTCAGTGGAAATGACAGAAATTTTGGACGAAACTCAAGCAGAGAAGATCAGAGAGGTGGACGTGATACTAACCAGCGCGAAGGACGTGACCGAAGAGGTCTTGGATTTTCAAACAGAAGAGATAATTTCGGTAAGGGAGGGGTCCGAGATAGACAAAATGATCGAAATAGAGGTGACAGATTTGACCGACAAACGCGAAAACCAACACAAGAGCAGATTAATAAAGAACTTAACCGTCGCGATGTCTATCCTAATACTAGATGGTAAGCAATCAAAGGGGTAAAAGTCAAAAAAGTAATGCTAAATCTAACGATTTAGAAATAAATCCTAAGATTTGATTTTAAAAGCAGGATTTAAATTTAGCACTTTTGAATTTTACAATGCAGGAACTTGATTTTGAAAGATTCACGCCCTCCTTTAGTTGGGAAACGTGCAAAGAAGGTTAATAACAAGATCCAAAAAGTTATTGAGAAGAAACGAGCAATTGCAGCTGGAGAAGTTCCATTGGAAGAGTAAGTATTAATAGTTTCAATAATGTCTACAGATTTAACTAAGATATTGCCTGTTTTCAGCCTACCATTCTCAGAGAAAGTTGACAAGATGTTTGAAATGGCACAAAAAGCAGAAATTCCCAAACTTCTTCCAGGATCTGCAAAACGAAGACTTAACAACATCAAAAAGAAGAATGATGCAGACATAACAAGTGATGAACGCAAGTTTTTGGCTTATTGCGACTATGTTAATGTAAAGCGTCAAAAGTATTTCGATGAGAAAAAGAAGCGCGAAGAGGAAGAAGCAAAATTAAAAGCTGAAAATCCATCAGTCAATCAGGAGCCAATGGATCAAGAACCATCTCAATCATAAATAATTAATTAATCCTTTCTATTATTTTAAGATAATTTCGTCATTAATGTATTGATTTTAATTTTAATTATGAATATCAGAATCTACAATTGCATTCTTGAAATAAAAAATTATTAGGAAGTAACACTGATTTATGTTTAATTTAATTTACATAAAGCTTTTATTTCATTAATTAATTCTTTCTTTTGCCTTTTTTCACAATTGTCCAACCTGGATCTACATCTTCTTCCTCAACTTGCATCGTACTCGTACTTCCACTAGTACTTGGCCCATTGCTGTCTTTATTATTTGTACTGTCACTTTCCATATCTTCATCGTCACTGCCTGATGAACTGTCATCTTCTGGATCTTTTATAATATTAATTTTATTTCCTTTAACAATCCAATTGTTACATGGAGAAAGTGCTGTTAATTCTGATTTAATTAATTCCAACTGTCCACTGTTTAATAATTCTAAGTATCGCAGTAAGATATTACTAATTTCTTTTGTTGATTGATCTTGACAGACTGTATCAAATTCTTGATCTAAAATATCCTCTAATAAATCCATTAAATCTTCTTCACTGACTTTGGAATTCGTTAAAACACACGAATCTGTAACGTAATCCACGAAATCTAATGCTGTCTATAATGGAATCAAAGTTATCGCACGTGTTGAATAATTCCTCTAAATATCAAACCTGTAATCCATTTTTAGCCATTCCATGCTCGACAGCTAATTTCAAGGCACTCCATCTATTGAATATGCATTCAACAATCTCCTTAAATTGATTCCTCCTCAATTCTGTTGCCATTTTAAGATAGTTCTGTGTCTTTCTGATCTTTTCCGGCACTCAAAATGTTTATGTTCGAAGAATTGCGAAAAATTTGATACTTTCGAACTTCCAAAATTATAAATTCCGTTGTCATTTTCATACTTACTTTGGATCTCTTGTTTTCTATTTCAATGGAAACTTCTGAAAAAGTCAAAAAGCAATTTACCATTATCATATCCTGCTTCGGATTCCTCAAGAAAATTATCATATACTGCATGGATATCCTTTGCATGTCTGATCTCATTGACTATAAAAAGCTTTCTTCACGCTCAAGTACTTATCCTTTGTGGAAGAAATGAACTGAATAATTTGAAGCTTTCCATACTTGACACTAAGTCTAGGTCTGATAATCCTAACCTATCATTGGTCCCACTCCCGTAAAATAAACTTGGCATAGTAAACACCATAAAAACTCAATCTAATTACTGATGAGCCAGTTCAAGCTGGTTCAAGCATGCATTAAAATTGCATAACGGTCATAATTTAAATAAAAATATCTGATATTGCACCCACAAGTAATTTATCAACTTTGAAATGTATTACTACATAATAATACTCATCCATTAAGAAATAATAAAAGCATTTATCATTAATTAAATTATGAGAAAAAAGTAGTACAACGTTTAACGAACTTTTAAGATTTGAATTTGTTTCGAAAGTCATTCTGGTTCTTCAAATTGAACGAAAAGGATTGTCGTGAGAGAATTTCCTTTGAAATAACTTATAATACGTGATATTTAATTGATTGTGAAGTAAAAATAGTGAAAAGGACAAGTGTTAAGTCCAATAAACTTGGTAAATATAGATTAGTACAGGAGAAAATGGAGTTTTTTGTGATAATTGTAAAATTCAATTTTTTTTGCCTAAAGTTGCTCCAAAATTTATAATTAAAAGCAGTTAAAAGTGTCAAAGTAAATCTGCTTGACGTGTTTCGATAAAGGATTCAACATTTAAAACTCAAGTGTACATAAATCATGAACAACTTCCCGAACAGCAACAATCTTTATGGATATGGATTTCAGCAATCCAGTCAACAACTGAACTATCCGCCACCCGTAAGTTAACAAATCAGACTATATCTTGATGATAAAAACTATTTATTCAAGGAAATGTGAATTTAAATTAATCAGGCTACTTTAAAGTAATACATATCGTATTATACATTATAATACTTTAAATGAAACCTTTATCTGCGTATTTCCCGTTCATAATCAGTCGAAATTTACTTTTTGATTATACAGTTCATACTCAATGTCATTGATTAATTGAGGAAAAAAAAATATATTAAAACATTAAGAAGCAAATGATAATTTGCTGGATTTTAATGAGAGTGAAATGTATTACATAGACATAATACATAAGAATTGTGCCTTAAAATACATGACGAGATACAATTTCACCATATGATTTAAATAAGAAAATCAATATAAGGTTTGTGATGGAGGTTTTTATCTATTCGTTCGCAACAGGTAATTATTGGAATATTGTTAAGATAGGCATCATCAGTCTCTCACATAATCCTTAAGTCGCAAGTCTTAATCAATTCGAAAAAGTAGACAAATTTATGAGTTTCTTTCAATGTACCAATACAAACATATTAACAAATATTGTAATAGTATTAAAATTTATTTAAATCAACCAAATCTCGTTTGTAGTTTATGAATTCACAACCTGTGGGATATGATAACACAAATAGACAATTTTCCGCACCACCACCACCACCGCCTCCTGAAAATCAAAATCAAGGATCTTCAGCTGATTCCATGCAGCAACAAAACATGAACATGAACAGAGGTAGACAACAAGGCAATTTTAATCAAGGATTTAACAATAATCGAGGGCAGCAGAATAGCAATAATAATAATAATAGTAATAGGCAGCAAAGTGCTCGAGGTGGTCGAAGGAATCTAAGAGGAAGTGCTCAGTTTCCGGGAGACAATATTCATTCGCAGAATGCCAGCAGCATGAACTCTAATGTAAGTTTTAATTATGATATGATTAATTTTGTCACCAGAAGTCTCTGATTTAAAGTTTTACTATGAATAACTTATTACAATGCTAAAGTATTAAAATTATCAGTCAATGTTTCTTTTTTTGTATAAAAAGCTATTTATAATTTTGATTTGAGTCTTTATTTTATGTCAAAATTAGTCAATAGATTTAAAAGTTGGGATTGATTAATTCCAACATAATCTCTTGGCATGACATCATTTAATAGTTTTTTTCTCTCTTTTGATCCTAATGCACAGTTTAATGACCCAAAACCAAATCAAATGCAGGGAAATTTCAGCAATATTCGTGGTGTAAGTACACATTTTAACAGTTGATATCTCATGCTAATAAATTCTTTATAGCAACAGAAAAACAATAAGAATAACAACAACAATAGGAATACGGGAAACTGGAACAGGAATAAGAATAATAATCAAGGTCAAAACTCTTCAGAAATGAATTCAAATGCTAATATAAAGTTCGCACATGATGTTTCTCAGCAACCATCACAACCAATTTCATTGAGTCCAAATGTTCCTGGCACATCAACAAATGTCAATAACTTTGAGGACGAATTTAGAAAATGGGAAGAACAATTTGAAAAGTGGCAGCATGAAATGAGAGATCATCCAGATAAAGAACAGTATGACAAATATAAGGAACAATTCATGCAATATCGCGAAGCTTTATCAACTGTAAGTAATATAACATTGATGGTGAAATTCAAAATGATATTAATTAAATTGTTTACTATAGCGCTTGCAAAAATTGAAAGAAAAGTCAATCTCGAATCCGCCGATGACGGACGAACAAATCAAATTTAGTACGGAATGGACTGCTGGAGATCCAAATAAAGGTTCAACAAGTACAGCTGAGCCAGCTGGTTCTTCTAAAACAGTTTATAATCCAGCAACGTCATCAACACAATTGCCACCAGCATTTGTATCAAATTCCGATCTGCCTGCATCATCAATTCTTTTTGGTTGTTCAACATCAACAGTAACAAGCACCAAAGAAATTCCCCAATTAAGTTTTGCTCACGATAAATTCGATGAAGAGAATATTGTGTCATTTGAACATGCTGTTATGGATCCAAATTATTCAAATTTTAATAAGAATAGCTTTAAAAGCTCAGAAGCATTTATTCCTGGACTGGAAACATTTAAGGAACCACCAAAAGAAATGCTAAGAAACAAACAAGATGATGATGTTTTGATAATTCCTCCAAATCAGACAACAGAACTAAGAAAATCACCGCTTGTTGCTCTTCCTATGCCTGAGCTGCCTTCTTTTAGTCGAACAAAGTTTAGAAGTATGACTTTAATTGATGAAATCCTAGAAGAACCTGGACGATCAACAAGAGATAAAAAGTAATTATGATTTAAATAAATCCGATGATTTATTTTTAAATCCAAAAATCTAATATAATACCTTTTTGACCGTTAATTTTTATCTTTATATACAGAGTGCTTATAATAATTCGAGGAGCACCAGGCAGTGGCAAACATTATCTAGCAGACCTGATTTATAAGAAAGAAGCTGAAGAGTATCGTAATGATCGATGTAAAATATTATCGATAAGAAAGTTTATAGTTAATCATATCTACGATCCGAGAAAAGCAGATGAGTATGATATGCAACAGCTTAATGAATGTAGAGATATGATGCAAGAAGGATACAATAATTTTGTCATAGTGGTCCTCAATGGATGTGGCATTAAGCATTTCAATAAGATTGCTCATATGGCTTTTAGTATAGGAAAGTTTGAATGTTACTCTATCGAAATTCATCAAAAATCTGAAGTTTGTCACAAATATGACACATATAATAGAAGTATCATAGATATAAAAGAAGCAAATGAATATTTAGTAAGGTTTTCAACGCCAATTAGAATTAAGCTTTTAGATCCAAGCTCACTTTATTTCCCAAAATTAAAACCACAGCCTATTTTAACTGATAAACCCCCACCGATATTCGAGAAATCACAACCCCCACCTCAATCAATTCCATCAAACGCTGAAGAATTTACTAAAAATATAGCACAACTTTTACAAAATGAAAATGTCATGCAAATTTTGCAAGCTCAGATTAAAAATAATCAATCTAGTCAGTCAATGCAGGTACAAAATCAGCAGTCACAGCAACAGCAACAAAATCAGCCATTTCAACAAAATTTCAATAGAATGCCTCCAATGATTCAAATGCGCGAACCTCCACCAAAATCTTTTATACCAAAAAATCAAGCAAACTTCTCATTAGTCGACTGTCCAATATTTAAATCTACAAAAGTCGTTGACTATAATCATGTCCATAAGCAAACATTTGAAGAATCTTTGATGGAATTTAAAGTCTTTCGAACCATAGACTATAATCATATGACATCCTATAAATTAAATGAATTCATAAAGGAAATTGATATTGATAAAGTCATTGAAAAGAGAAAAGCTATCGCATTAAGAAAGAAAATTTTGGAATATTTAAGAAGTGCTGAACGGCCTGAAGATACAGTAAGTAATCCAAAATATCCAAGAAACTGGCAAGTTGAAGAACGTGAACGCCCGCCAAGAAAAAGTAAAAGAAGGAAGCGTTTGACTGCAAAGATTAAAAGAATTCTTATGGAAAAATGTCGTGACAATTCGTGGATGACAAAAGGATATGTAAGAGATGAAAATGAGCAGATGGATTTAGAAACAATTTCTTCAGATGATGATGATGGAAGTGACATAGGATCGTATGAAAAACCAGCGAAAATTGCAAGAATTGAAGTTGATGAGAAAGAGGAAGTTTATGATGAATTTAGAGACATTTTTAAGACAATTCCAGATTTTAATAGATTTAAACATCCAAGAACAATTAGTATAAAGAGTCTTTTATGGCTTCCTGAAAGAAAATTTCGACCACATAAGATTTTGATCATACTTCGTGGTGCTGCTGGATCTGGAAAGTCACATTTAGTTCAATTGATTAAAAGGAAAGAAACTGAAATTGGAAATTCCGATATTAGAATTTTATCAATTGATGATTATTATTTAACTGAGGAAGATGAAGATTGTGATCCAAAAACTCGACAGAAATTAACACAAAATTATTTAGAAAATTTACAAAAACATTTAAAGAAAACAATTTCCAATAATTTACACAACTTTATCATAATTGATGCTGAAAACTGCGATTTGAGTTCATACAATCAATTTCATCAGATTGGCACTTCAATGGGATTTTCAGTCTATACAATTGAACTATATCAAATGCTCGACATTTGTATGAAGCAATGCAAAAGAGCTGCATCTAAAGATGAGATTTCAAAGTCGATAGAATTATTAAATAAAAATCGAATTCCTAATGATCATATGCTGCTACTTCCAACTGCACTTTATGAGGAATATAAATGCTTTGTTAATCCACTTTTATCGAATGAGAAACCAAAGGAAGTGATTGAAAAACCTAAAGAAGTTGAGCAGCAAGATGACTCGATTAAAAACTATCAGAACTATCTCGTTCAAACTATTGATGATGACTACTTGGAAGTAATGCCTCAATTTAACTGGCATAATCGTGAGACTATAGACATTAGAGACATTTTGGAAGAGCCTGGAAGATTTAAAAGGAACAAGAATATCGCAATTTTAATGAGAGGACCTGGCGGTTCCGGTAAAAATGAATTAGCATCAGTAATTTTGAATAAAGAACGCGAAAATGGAAATGAAAATTGTATATTTATAAGTATTGAGGAATATTTCATTAATGAAGGAACTAAAAAGTATGAATTTAACAGTCGTGATCTAGACACAAACATCCAAAAATTAATAAGGAAGTTACTTGAATCAATGCGATCAAAACTGTACAATTTCATTATTGTGGACGTTGAGACTGGAGACTTTTCACATTATATGCAGATTTATGAGTTGCTATCTAAACAGAATCAATGTTATACAATTGAAACATATCAAGATCCAGCAGTTTGTTTAGAAAATGACATTCATAAACGTTCAAAGGAGTTAATTGACAGTGTTTTAGAAGAAATGAGTTTGAATCCAACACCTGACGATCATATCTTGCTTGATGCCGCAGTATTTTATAAACATCCGTCTACTGTCGCATCATCTGATCGTCCTTTAAAGTCAGCACTTAAAACATCCCCAAATACATCATTTAATGCTGAAAATTTACATTCCCAAGACTTAGAGAAGCTTTACGAATCAAATTCAGCTAATTCGACATTACATGAGAAGTTCCAAGCTAGATTTAATCAACGAATTAACATTAATGGAAGCTTTATTGATCGGAACTCATCACCGCCAGCGAATTTACCTGAATTTAATTGGTTTAATGAGAACATTACAGACATAAGGGAGATATTAGAGGAACCAGGAAGAAATAGTCGTCCTGAGAAAATTGCAATATTTATTAGAGGTGCTCCTTGTTCTGGAAAAACTTATTTAGCAGCGCTGATTTTAAGGAAAGAATTTGAAAAAGGAAGTGAAAAAGACTTTAATTTGTTGTCAATTGATGAATATTTTGAGGAAGTAAAATTTCGTGACACAGAATTTGAAGGACAATATGAAAAGTACATTGAAAGTAATGCAGATGCAGCAAATATCGACGAATATATGCAGGAACTTGATGAGAATTTTGGAAGCATTTTAGAGAATGATGGTCCAGCTTTTGTGGTCTTAGACGCTGATTTCTGTGACTTGAAATATTATAATGAGATGTGGCAAAAGGCAGTTTCGAGCGGCTTCACATGCTACACAATTGAGCTTAATCAAGATGATAATACATGCAAAAAGTTTAATGATCACAAATGGAATGAGTCATTCATATTAGAACGTAATAAAATGATGCGAGAGATTCAAACGCCAAAAGATCACACATTACTGGATCCTGAATATTTGTATCAAGAATATAAGTATGAATTTAATGAGAATGGCGATGTCTTTGATGAAAATTATGAAATGGAAGTAGATGATGAAGGATCAAACGACGAGAATAATGAATTATCGTTTGGTAAGTTTAAAATGTCAGCACAAACGAGTAAATGGGATGATTATGAGACACCAGATATTGAACGACTTGATGGCATTAAAAGTAAGTCGAAATGTGTCACAATGGCTGATTATCTTCAAACTGACGATGCTAATGAATGGTCAATGAGACCTTCACAAAGTGGAAAGAAAAGAGTTCGTTGGGCTGATATTGAGGAGAAGAAGGCACAAGAGCATATGAGAAAAATTGGATTTATTGTCGGTCATACAGATTGGACTCGAATGACTGATGAAAGTGACGGCAAAAGTGCTCTTGAGAAGACTAAATTTATTGAGCCTCGTCAAAAGAAATGAGAAAAATAAAGATTTGAAAATATTGAGAATACAGTGTTAATTTAAGGCTTGAACGGTACTGCTATTTGGGGTTTGATGGTAGTGCTCTTTGGAGATGAAACGCACTGTTGATGCACGATGGGATAGAACAATTAAGGGAATTAAATTAAAAGCTTAGCATTCCTTGGTAAAATGCCGTTAAAAAGCTTGACCTAAAAACCGCTTTAAAATTACATAAAAACAACTTTATAATCATCATGAATTTCAAATTTTCAAAAACCGTTAAGAAAATCGAATTTTAGAAAATGGTTAAACTTTGTAATATTATAATTGGAATAAATTTGTATCAAAAGATTTAATCATTAATGGACACGTATTGATTCTTGTATTTTGTTTTTAAAGCAGTCCTAATTTATGTTAATTAAAAAATAAAATCAACGTGCTTTTGTCGGAATCATTACCTAATTGTTTAGCACGTCTTGTAAATATGTAAAAAAAATTCTAAGAAAGTATGAAAAATCAATTATAAAATTTTTTTCAGTTCCTTTATTATGAAATAAATATTTGTTAAAAAATGTTCACAATATGATTAAAATTATGGTCGAATCAAGAGTTTGTGATCTGAAAAATAGTTTGCTAGCATGTAATTAAATTAATTTTAGAATTAAGTGAAGATTGCATCAAGAAAATAATAAAGGATAAACTATCAAAAACTTATATTATGGTTTTAATTAAATCTCCTTAAAGTAGCCTGATTATTGAGTTTTCCCAATTCCAATGAATTCGATTAATAATGTTTTTGGATTAATTTCAGATTGTGTATTACAATGTCGACTATAACAATGCGGAACCGCAAATAACTCAACACAACCAGCATAAGAAACAAGCTGAAAATGTATCAAATTCCAAAAGTAAGTTTTTTATTTGGGGTAGGATTTATTTTAATCGCATGAGCTTAATCATAAGATTTAATTTTCTTGTGATTAAATTAAAGGATTTAAGTTTGAGTTTGATTCAAAATGTATCAAGCCGAATTGAACTAAATTCATACTGTAATTTTTTACAATAAATTCACAAATCTGCGTGGGAGTAAACTCTATAAATTTATTTGACTTTTACTAATTGATATACTTTATTTCATTAAGGTTTGGCTATAAGAAAGTGTCGTGCAAGATATGGCTTGGAGAAGAAGCATGAATGGTGCAGAGCTTGTTGGTAGGTAGATATGCCATATAAATTTATCCTTAATTGCATTTCCAAAAAAAAAAATGTTTTTCAGTCAAAAGAAGAAATGCACTCGTTACAAAAATGACGAGGAAGAATCACCACCAAATATTGTTTCGCCAGAGAGCAATACAGTTTATTATCCGGTTTACAACGTTTATAGACCATACATGCCATTAGTCAACGTTATGTTGGGTTACTAATCTACGATGCTTCCGGGATAAAATTCTTTACTTCATTTACTGTTAATTTGATGACGATTGCCATGAATTTTATGGGAAATTTCTCAATATTCGAATTCATTCAATTCTTTTTTCCACATTCTTGTGGATTATTTTTAAATTCGGCGCCGACTATATATAATTTTACACAACTTAATGCTGTATTTTATTGTTATGATTCATGTTAATCACAATTTTACTAGTTATCGATGATCGAGGATTTGTCATTGAATTGGAAATGACGTAATATTTTTTCATTGATGACACAAAACCGGACAATCTCTTTAATTCCACTTATTCCTTCCTCTCATTTTTCGTTATTAATCTTTTGTCTACATCTTTTTCTATCCAAATTTAGACTTTCATCGTCTCATATGTCCATACTTGACTTTTACACGTAACAGTGTGCACACAACTGATGATATTTGACTAGATGAGACTTAAAAATTTACGATAGGAATGAATGTATGACAATTTTTTATTAACGCAACTGAGAATTAAGATGAAAATTGTTGAAAGCTTCAAGATGAATTTTTTAGATGCATCGATTCATTTTGAGGATTTCAATTATTTTCGATCTGCTTGAAATAGCAATCAATAAGCCGCGGCAGAGAAAATCGATGTTCTCTGATTTTGATTGCTATTTTTAGCACAAAAAATGCCATAAAGAGAGATTTTAATGCATAAGAACATTTTCGCTTGATTAAAGAGCTTAATTCATGCTCTGCTTAGTTCATCATAACTTTAAGTTTAATTTCTTTCGATTTTTGGCCAAAAATCGCTTCTTTTGAGATTAATTAAGACTATAACAATAGTCGATCATCGATATCATAACTACTTAAAATTTTAATGTTTATTATTTGATAAGGAATTTTACATTAATTAACTCCGCAACATTGTAAAAGTGATAAAACGCTACACGCTTTAATAAAAATTTCAAGATTAAATTGAGGTATGCGAAAGGGGGTGTCATCTTGAGTAATTGTGCTCAAAAAATGGGGAAAAAATTTAACATTTTGAACGGTTTTTTAAAAATTGATTTATTTCAAATCTTCGTTAAAACTCTGAACGAAAGATTTTTTGAATTTATTTTGACAGTTTAGGGGCCGTTCACTTATGACGTCCAGGGGGGGTCAGCAAAAAAAGAACAATAGAAATTCCTGGAAATCCATTGTTCTTTTTTTAAAAATGACCGTTAATTTCGGACGTCATAAGTGAACGACCCCTTAAATCTTTTTGCATTATATTGTGTAATTCACCAGAATGTCAGTTAAAATATCCTTGTAATAATTTTCATGCCTCTAATCATTAACTTTTAATTCAACAAAGTTCCACAATTTATGTAAAAGTATTTGATTTACAAGTTGACACCTCTTGTAAGTTTATGCATAATATTCAATTCTCATACAATGCCTCTAATTCATTTTTATTAAGCATAAACACTGAGAAAGAATTCTCAAAATCCTCTCGCTCTCTCAAATATTTCTTGCTCAGCTCACATGTGTATAGTATTTATTTTCATTTCTTAATGTACGATTTTCATTCAGTTTCAAGTTCGCCGGCAAGCTACGTAGCTCGCCTTCTATTTTTTCACAGTGCAGCTTAAAGAAAATTTCTATATATTTTCGAAAAGAAAAATACAAAATCTATAAATAAAATTTATTAAAGAAATTCGATGAGCAGTTCTGAAACTTCAAAGTGAAATTAAGGCTTTAAATTACAAAAATTCTTGTTAAAACAAAGTGAAATAAATTCATGAAAAGAAACGTATTGTCGTTATCTCGTCGATAAGAAACTCAAACAATTACATTCTATAGATAATTGATAAACAGTAATAATTATTAAATCCATTGTAATTTCCAAACATTTTCAAAGGAAAACTTGAGTCACTTTTGAGTCCTCAAACTGAATTTTTCCCTTGGAAAGTGATGGAAGATTGTCTCGAACGAGTGAATAATTGTCTTCATATTTTTACTTCATGCCTACCAAAGGATAACAATAACCAAAGTAACAGCACTAACCTTAACAACTATACTAAAGCACCCAAAATGAACGATTATTATACATTAATGCTTCCAACAAGACCTAAAATCGATGATGAAATTAAAATCAAAGCGAAGCTAAAGCATCGTCCGACAGAGTAAGTTTTTAAACATTGAAGAACAGATGCTTTTTGGCACTAAATACAATTTTCTCTTCATCTTCTTTGTGAGATCATCACTTTGTATGCTAAGTTGCATTTTTATTAGCTTTTTCATGCCATGCTTAACATTGAAACTGAATAATATTCTATACAATGTGTTTTAAATCAATGGGGGGTCATTCATAAGTAATGTATATCTGAATTTTATTTTATTCAAAGGAGGCACACTCCATGCAACCTTAGAATTAAATATTATCTTGTGTAAGTCGTTCATAAGTGATGTTTATCAAACATGGATTTTCAGAACCCCCCCCCCCCTCCTTCCTCTGCCAGTTACAAAATTTCCGAAGAATCAATGATCTTTTTTCCAAAAGTGACCAAGGTCAGTTTCAAGGGTGTGGAACTGGCTAAAATATTCGACTTATTCGTTATATATTAACAAAGTGGACGGGGGGGTTGCTAAAATCTCACAGCTTCAAATAGACATCACTTAAGAGCACTCCCCAAGATGCTAAATATAAAGTCTTATGGTGATTAGTAAGCATAATTGATGAAGGTCATGGTGCTTGTCACGACGCGTGTCTGTAGTATTTTTTTATGAGCCTCAATGAGTCACTCAGACGCCAGCAAAACAGCTATTGTGTAACATTTTATATCCTGTTCTGACTTTCCTCGGCAACTGCTTTCCTTTTTTGTGGACATTTTTAGTAGTTGTCATGTCATGAATCACTGCACATATCTCTCACATTCTGTGGATGAATTTTTGGAATGCTGTAAAGTTCAAGTTATTCAAACATTTTTTATGCAAATTGATGCCACAAAATTATTATCTCCCACACACAATAGACCTTATTTTGATGTTTCAAAGTCTCTTGCTTCTTTCTTTGCTCATTTTTGTTATTTTTTTGTGCCCGAACAATAGATGAGATTGTAGATTTAAAATGATTTGTTGTGGTCAATAATTTTGAAATCCACTGCCTCAAGTGGATAGTTGAATGACACTTAAAATTATCATGTTGAGATAGGTTAAGATTAATGTTCATTTATTACGTAGCTCAACCTTGTTATTTAATTATGGATACGCTCCTAAATCTTAAGCAACAACGTTCGCCACCCCTCTCTCAAGGTTTACGTAATAAGTGACGGATAGAGGTTGATGGTTGTCATACTTGTATGGAGTATAATAGAACTCGAGACCCACTTTCACCTCAAAAGATAATTGTCATAATTTACGAAAGATCTTCTTCATTCATAAATCCAACTGACCTTTCTTAATCATAATCTACAAATCGGCAATGATTTAGAATCAAAAAAAATGTTCAAAAATTCAAAAATTTCATGTTAATTAAACTTTGTCTTTTAAATGCCAGATTAAAGATTTTACCTTTATGCATATCCTTTAAAAATATCTCGTTCCTATTTGCTGTCTAACTCCAAAAATCATTAATTTAATAATCTCACCCAAAACTTGTTTACAATTTGAGTATGAAAAAAAAATGTGATTTTTTCTACTTTAAGTTGTTATTTGGATGTCTTGAAAGCAGTTGCTAGCTAATTTAAGCTTAGCTTTACATATTAGAACAACCAACTCAATAGAAATCTGCTTATTAAGCCTTAAAAATGGAATTGAAATCTGAGTATTTTTACAAAACTTAAACTTTTCATAAGTTAAAAAGTCTTCCAAAGACCTCTCTGAAACCTATATAAATCAATTGATTTAGCTTAAATCTATCTCCCATATTACTGGGGACATGCCGTTTGATGCTGTTTTCGAGATATTTGCGTTCAAAGTTTACATCAATTTTCATACATTTGATCATGATCAATATTTTTTGATAAACTTTTACAAACTTTTGGTAAAAAATCATGTTTATCCTTTATATTAAGGACTGATTTTTTGAGCAATGATGTAGAAGATGCTAAAAGAATCAAATCAAGAGAAATTAGCAAACATTTTCAATTTTCTAATGTGCCGGAAAAATATTGTGCACAAGGTATTTTTTGAACATTTTTTCCGAATCTGAATCATTGTGAAATCGATCGTAAAACTTAAACTTGACAGGCAAAAAATTGCCATGAAGCATTCCATTCTAATGACATCACTATGCAGATAACTCAATTTTGATTTAATTAATCTATGACTGTGTGACTCGGGAACGCTCACATCTCTTCTTTCTTAATAAGACATTACTTTTTTATCCATATAAGAAGTTTCAATCATATTCTCGGTTCTACACTGACTGGCAAAAAGAAAAGCAATGAACGCGAATTGAAAAAAAAAATAATAAAGAATGGAATTTCATACAGATCAAAATTTCAATTTTGAATAATTAATCACGCCTACATGCTTAATAATATGAAGAGAGAGCTAAAAAAATTTGCAAAAAAAAACTTATGTCGGACAGCAAAAGGATTGAATTTAGCATTTTTAATGACTTTAATTCTTAATGAGAATGTAATTTTTATTCAACGGTCAGACATGAAATCGATTTCATTCTGGGAAAATGAGGGAAAATGAAAATTACTTTGCAGAAATGGAGGCAAGAAAATTTCCATTCTAAATTGAAGGAACGATAATTGAGGTCAAATGCAAATGCTTTTTAGTGCATTTTCGAATTTTAAAAGGTTGATGTGTATGTAATTTTATGTCTAATTCTTTTATTATAATTGTAACCGTTATTTTCAAAAAAACTTCATGATTTTCAAATATTTTTTTGACAGTTAATTTTCGAATATTTCATAACCGTTATTTATGCTTGAAACCCAATTTTCCAATCACATGTCTTTATTACTAATTTCTAAAAAGCTTTCATTGAGCTTTTATAAATCAATATTTTAATTTTGATCAGCTTTATCTTTTAATAGATTCATAATAAATTTATGCGTGGACAGTACAATCGAGTCAAAAAATGATGAGCCAATGATGATTGCATTTCATTTCCGTACAAAATTTAAAGAGCATTCAGAAGACACAAGCTATGTTGTATTGAACTGTAAAAGAGGTCATGATGGATGGGATGATATTGAGGAGATAGATAACTCATGGATTGATGATAATGGTAAGCATAAAATAAAAAATTCGCGGTTGTGGAGGTGGAAAATTTATAATTTGTAGACTACTAACCTAAAATTTTTTTCTCTTAATTATTCGCATATTTACCAACTGCTTTGTACCTGAACACTACTTCCTCCACTTATTCTTATGATTTTTTTTTTGTATGTAAATTTTTTATTATTATTTTTAAATATTTGTAAAGGTGGTAAGTGATGGAATTGCATGGAGCTGGACACAAAATTCAAAAAATTAAAATTAAAAATCCTTTCATTTCCAAAAAAACCCAAATTTTCATTCACAGTTGAGGAAATTGACATAACTTTAAGATTCTCAAAGCGAGAGATCCAGTTCTTCTCAGGATCATCATTAGAATACCAGTTTGAACATCAATATGAAATAAATCGGATTGATCGATTGCAGATTGGTGGCGATTTAGACTACATCGAGGAAGTTGCATTGCGCTACAAAAAATCATTTTAAAAACATTTCTTTTCCACCATTTTTTAATTCTATTTATAATATTTAAAAAAAGTTTTTCTTTCATTTCCATTTCCATGATGTAATAATTAAAGTATTTCAGAAATTAAGTCACGCACATAAAAACATTTTCTTTCATTTTCCATGCATGTAGAATTTAAGGAAATAGAGTTTTTAGAGACTAGAAAAAAATTCAAAAACATGTTCAATTCTGACACATAAAATAAAATAAAGTTCATGCTCAACATGAATAAAATTGTGTGAAAATTTAAAGTTTGCAGTTTGCCTTGATTTCCTTTTTTTGTGGATTTTATTTTATTTTTATAACGTGCTTGCCTGCATTGTGCTGGATTTAACTTGTTGAAATTCCCAGGTTCTTGGAAGCAGTGAAGTGCTCATAAAAATCTAATCAAGATTATTGCAAGGCACGAGTTAGAGTTAAAGTGCTGCTGTAAGACTTAATAACTGCTTTTTAATGCTCAAAGCTTTATATTCCTATTTTTGTTGCTATTTTAAATTAGAATTTCCCTAATTACAGATGATTCACGTCAGAGACTTAGCCAAGCTTAATATTTTAATACTGAGATTTCAGACTTAGCCTTTGCTTCTGCTCTTTTAGTACTGACTGGGATTTTGTTTCAAAAAACCCTAGCCAAAGGTCAAATACCATCTTATAAGATTGAAAAAGTTGCAATTATTTTTTATTAAAATGAAAATTCGTTGAAATTGCAATTTTGGAAAATGGAGAAAATTCGTTAAAACAATAAAGCAATCATTTAAGTAAAGGAACAATTAAAAACTGTTTTCAGACAGACGTCATTTATGAACAACCCCAAAGTAAGTGAAGATGTAATAACAACCTAATTTGAATTGCAACAGCTTACATGATTTCACGTTCAATTTACAAGCCCTATAAAATCTCTATCTCTTGCTGAGCAAAGGAAGCAATAAATCTGATGAGAAAATGTTTCTTTTCGCTTCATTAAGAAAAGATTTAATTAAGGTAAACATTTTGATGCTTTTGGAGCTTGTTTCTAATTTAAAAGATTTAATTTCAATCAAAAAAAGTTGTGGATTGCAGCTTAATTGTAGACATTCTCCTCCCCCATCAAAAATTGGGGATCCTAAAAGCAATAATTGAACAACAATTTTGGTCTTGTTCACTTATTGCGTTCGCATTTTAGGGGAAAAATTGTAACAAAATGTAACATAAGGGGGGGGGGGGGGGGTTCACGGGAAAAAGTGAAAAATTTCACGAAAAAAATTTGTTCACACCAAAAACATTTTTTTAAATTTTCCACGTTTTTAATGATAAAATAAATTATGAACGTTCAGGGGGGGGGGGGTTGTGCGTTGTAACATATTGTAACAGGGGGGGGGGGGGGGGTGAAAAAAGTTTTTTTGCGTAACGTAATAAGTGAACGGCTCCTTAGTGACATTCATAAAATTGGACTGACCTCCCCCATTGCTAAATAATGAACCTCATAAGTAAGCGACCCGTTAAACAATGCCATAAAAAATTCAATTGAAGTCGCTCATTTAACTCCTCATTCATCTGCTCACACAATACACAGCCACAACATACTGCATTATAATAATGCACTGCAAAGCTCTGCAAATAAACTGCTTAGCTGCTGGAAAAAAATATTGACACAAATGCACATCCGATGAAAAAAAAAAAGCTCATGATATTGTTATTCACGAAGTACATGCCAGATTTTTCTTCGGCAATCCTTTATTTTTATTTTTTGTTCTTTTATTATCCATCGACTATTTTTGAAATAGCATTAAGATTTTTATTTTTAGTAGTTTTACTTTGAATTGACATTAATTTAATAAATATCCCTCCACAAATCCATACTTTTATATTTTTATTATTATTATTTTGACTCTAATGTATATCCTACAGCTTTTAAACATTATTTAAGTAACTTTACTTCTAGTGAATTTTTTCATTTTTTTTATCTATTAATCGTGATTTTTTTAAACATTTTTTTTTCATACTTTTATGCAAAAATAATTTTTCATTTCCTTCATATTTTATTTAACATAATTTATGGATAGGTAGGAGAAATAAAAGAAAGTTTTTATTACAGACCACGGACGTCTTGGAAAAATATAAAAATCTTGTCAATGTATTTTTCAAAATTTCATTTAAATTTTCAAAAAAAAAAAATTCATTAAAACTTTTTAAAATTTTTTTGAGAATTTCAAATATTTCACAAAGTTAAAAATTCAAATATTTATTTACTTTTGAAATTTTAAACTTTTTTAAAATTCCTTAAAAAATAAAAAAATGAAAAAAAAGAGACTTGCAAATCATTTCCAATGACCTTAGTCTGTATTTATTTATTCATATATTTGTTTATGGATCGAAAGGATAAGAATCAGGAAAGACGTAAATAATAAATTCTCAATAGTCGTCATCTTATTGTGATTGAAAATTGATGTGACATTGGAAATTGAAATCAATATTGAATGTTGATTTAGAATAGAAGAAGGTAGATAGCATCAGCGGATAGAATTCTAACAGGTTTAGAAGATCAATAGGTAGACATAAAAATAAAATTCGTCAATTCGCCTTAAGTTGGTTCTTAACAAGAATGATAAGTTTGTTATTACAGGTAGATTTTCCATCGTTTGTTGGAATGGAAAGCTTCCGATTCCAAATTGTTTGTGTAAATTATTGTATGCACTTTAATACCTATAATAGTTCGGCTTGAATGGACCAGTTTTACTTAAGCCCATATATTTAGCTTGTTCGTCTGAAAGCTCAGTCAAATGAGCATCAAATGTTGGCAAATGCAAAATCGCTACATACTCGTCTGAAAAAAGAGAAAGAAAATGAGCAATATATTAAATCCTGACGACATAATTGTTATTTAATTGCTTCTGCACAACTGCTTACCCATTTTTCTGGATAATAAATATACATCGCACTTATAACGTCCTGGCTGTGCATTATAAAGTTCAATTAAAGCTAAAGCTTGTGTTGCAGAAGTGATGCTTGCGCAGAATGATGGAACACTTGAGCATGATAAATTTACCAATCGTCCTTCGGCTAATAATACAATTCGTTTGCCATCTGGGAATATGATATGATCGACTTGAGAACGAACTTTTTCCCATGTTAAATCTGGCGTACGAAGATCCTTCACATCGATTTCTGTATTCGAATGACCTAAAGTATAATAAGAAACAAAAAATTGGAATTAGAAGCACGAAATAAAGAAAGAGAAAAATAAAAAGAAATTTGCAGAACGAATCAGAAAGGAAGAAAATCAATTTGCTTGGCTAATTTGAGCAGGAACAAATGTGCTTGTGTATTTTTTTGAGCATAATTGGCATTGCTTGGGTGACTGAAGAGTGTAGGCAAATTTTGAATGTCATGAATGTATTAACTTTTGAACCCATTAAGCTTGAATTAATTTAAATGAGCACAGGAACTTCTAAATGACAAATTAACAGTCAAGGAACTCGAACTCAAGTCCTACGATTTTCAGTCGCATGCTCCTATCATTTAGCTTAATAAATCCAAAAGAACTGCGCTTACATGCCAATCACAACTCTGAGATCTACCTGCCAATTTAAGTGTGTAGCAGCAGAAAGGGAGAGAAAAAGCACTCAGGAAACAAAAATAGAGTGGAAAGAAAGAAGAAATTCATCATCCTAATCGTCACCACACATACGTACCCATATTGCAAACAATGCATCCATTTTTCATTTTTTCCATATGTTCACGTGTGACCACACTCTTATTGCCTGTAGTTGTGATGACGATATCAACATTTCGTATGACTTCGTTCAATTTAACAACACGAAAGCCGTCAGTACTCGCTTGAAGTGCACAGATAGGATCGATTTCTGTGACGTATACAATGCAGCCGAGCGCTTTTAAAGCTTGTGAGCAACCTTTACCGACTTCACCGTATCCGCAGAGCGCAACTTGCTTTCCCGAGAACATAATATCTATAAAAATTGTGTTTATATGTGGACATAAACATAATAAAGTAATTAGATATCATCGTCGTCTCAAGATTCTGTCATGTCATTAAAAGTTGGTTAAGTCACTTACCAGTTGATCGTTTCAAACTATCTATGATGCTCTCCTTACAACTATAAAAGTTATCAAATTTCGTCTTGATAACCGAATCATGAACATTCATTGCTGGAACTGTCAATTTGCCACTCTTTGATAACTGATAAAGACGATGTACACCAGTGACACTCTCTTCAACAATTCCTTTAATCAATTTAAACATTGCGGGATATTTTTTTAACATTAAATGCGTTGCATCACCACCGTCGTCGAGAATCATATTTGGTTGCCAATTTTCGGCATTAACACACTTATCAATACACCACCAGAAGTCTTCTTCTGTTTCGCCACGCCATGCAAATACACTAAATCCACTCTCAGCTAATGCGGCAGCAACTTCGTTCTGTGTTGAATAGATATTGCATGCTGCCCAACGAACCTAAATAAATATTTAAAGAGACACAAAACACAGAAAATAGGCAAAGGATATAGCGAAATCGTTTAATGTAATTAAATGTTGACTCTAATGACGAAGGCCATACAATAAAAGTTTATATGACAATCTCTAAACGAGCTACTGCTGCTGTTGATCAGGGGTGGAGCTAGGGATCAAAACTCTTATCATATTGAAATATTTTGGGTATGGAGGTTTTCTCTAGAAAATAATCTCAAGGATCCCCCGCCTCCTCGTTTGAAAAATATCCAGATTCACCCCTGCTGCAGCAGTTAGCATTCAGATTTATTCATATATGGCACATAAAATCTAACGACTGTCTACTTACAGATGCACCCAATGCCGCTAAAGTTTCAATTAGCACTGCCGTTTGTGCATTGACATGTGTACATCCAACAATTTTTGCATTTTTTAGGGGTTTATCATCGGAAGCACGTTTTCGAAGAGCCATAATTCCAGGCATTTCTAATTTAAAAAGAAAAACACAGAATAGAAAGGCATGTTTAGTGAACTTGATGATTTTTTTTTTCTTTCAAAAAGCAATAATAGAATGCTCACCTTGCTCAGCAATTTCAATTTCACGACGTCCAAATGCATGCTGCTGCAAATTTCTTACACAAAAGTCCGCAAAGCCTTTCGAGTTGCTTTGAATTTTCTCACGAGGTGATACATCATCATCCTCACTGGAACTGCCTGTGTATGACGCTGCAAATGAAAATTTGAGATGATTAATAAAATGTCTTGCAGCTAGCCAAGCAGCAAATCACTAAAACTATTGCAAATATTTGCTTTTTTTATAAAAAAATATTAAGCTTATTTTTTTTTTTTTGGAAGCAATATGTACACCATGCGCTGCTACGACGACGAGAATGTTTCATCGCGAACATTTCGAAGCCAACTGCCAACTAGCATCTGAATCATGTGCACAGGTTGAAAAGAAAAAAAAAGTTTTTCTTTCTCTCTATCGCATTGAGCCTATACATATACCTAATATAATTTTTTTTTGTCTGTCGTTTCAAATTGTAATAAGTGTTACGTGTAAGAATGTGTGTTGGGTAACTCTACTTGCTTGTTCATTCTTTAATAAATCATTGTGAGGAGTGAGGCAGGAATCACGAGTTTGATAACAGCTATTATGAGAGAGATGTTCGGGGAGTAATGATGGGACACGATAACGTTATCATTAGAACAAATTTCTTATAAGACATTGTCATTAACAAGTCAATTAAAATCATGTTGTCATAATGTTCAAGAACAGGTAGCACTAAGATACACGAAATGGAATGTATTTGTAGACCTGCTGTATGAAAATGTTTATTAAACAAAAGTGCTTCAGATAAGATTAAGTGAATTGATTTGTTGGAGATTATTAACATTTTTTTATGGCAATTCACTTGTTTTTCTAGTCCACACAACTTCAACCTGCCTGACTGTGTTTACAAAAATTATATCTCTGATAATGGATTATAAAAATTTATAAATTTCGAGCTAATTAAACTTTCAAACTCAATACTGATCGTGACGAGGAGCAATAAAAAAAGTTAATTAAGTCAATAATTCCTTCGAATTGAAATTGAAGTTGGTTACAGTGTTGTTGATTTAGATGGACTAGAACAAGGTACAGAAATTTGATTTGATTGGTTTCACCTTAAAAAATATCTTAGTTTGGCTAGACATTGCCTTACACAGATATAATCAAGGTTACAAAGGTATCACATCTAGTGCAGGACTTAGTCACCAATTGACTCCACATTTTGGACAGTCTATAGATACTCAGACTAGATATGCAATGAATATACGAAGAAGGATCTTGAAGTAGAACACATTTTGTCTTTAAGATAAAAAAAACAGCATCCGAGGAAGTAATCATCAAAATCCAAAAATCCTTTTAAGATCTGGGTGAGTAGCTTCTTATTTAAATAAAATTCAAACTCCATGAGTATCCAGATAACAACACTGCTACCCTCAAAGATTTTCTCGTATTTCTAAATTCAATTTTTCACTGTTGTGTGTTGCACAGATGAATACATTCAAAGATCTTCTTCAAACATTTTTCATTGTTATCAGAATGACGAAAATTTCGTCAGAAAAAAAATAACTCTTATAATTATTATTATTGCTAGCATTGTAAATTATCAAGCAATTATGGCTTAAAAGCTACTGTGCCTCTTTCGGTAAAGTAAATCAAAAATTAAGAAGCACAAACGAGATAAGCAACTGACTATATCAGCTTTAAAACTCGTTTATATATCTTCTCATATTGCTCTATTGTTATAAAGAAAGAAAACAAAAGCTTACCAGAACTATAGGAATCCGTTGAGGAAGCAGAAAGACTTCGACTGCGATAGCGACTTGACTTTTTGAGAGCACTCGAGATGCTCTTTGAGTCCTTGTCTTTCTCCTGTGAGAAAAAAAATTAAAGATTAATTTATAAATAAGCAAAAAATATTCTATGACAAACTATTAAATATTAATTAATGGAATTAAGCGTTTCCTTCTACAGAATATTGAATTGTTTTGTGTATTTATCGGCACATAAACTTTTGCGAACATAAACAAACTAAAACAAGCTATAAACGGAACGAAAAAAATGAATTGTTTACTTTACATGCCGCAAAATATGCGGTGTCTAATTAAAGTACTAGTTAATGACTTATTAAGAAATTACTAGCAATATTTTGACTAGTGGATGGATCAATATCTTGTGCAGACGAAAATAAATTTTGATTTGAACTTTTGAAGGTTACGCAAGAAGTAAACGTAGGAAAATACGTACGTAAAAAGTTCGTCATATGAAAGCATTGCAATCCATAATTTGTAAACCAATTTAAATCAAATTGATAGCTTCTTTGAAGTCTAATTCACATTAGATGAGATTGTTTGATGGCTATAAATTTAAATATGCTCATAAGACACAATCGAGTCAATTAAAGTCAATTGAAAGGGAAATGTTAAATCAAGTAGATGTTATCAAGCTATGAAATTTCTTATTTATTAAAGAACTATGTGAAAAAAATGTCTGTAAGTGGACACGACGTATATCCACAATCAAATTGATAACACTTATAGAAATGTATTACTTTTTATGTTTAATTCGTTAACGATGATTTATGGCTAGCTATAGACCAATTTGATTTGGCTTTATTCCTGCAAAGTATTTGGAATACTTAATCAAAATGTAAAGAAGCGATATCACAAGGGAGATAAAAAATGATAGGAGGAAATTCCGCACAATTATTGCTACTGTCAATAAATAGAAAAAGATTACATGTTTTAGGAAAATTGACGAAACATTTTTGCCCTTATAGCGCCATGTTTTTATGTGTTACAAAAATTCAGTGATTCATGTGTGTAGACAAGTTACAATGACTGACAAAACAACAAGATATAAAATAAAATATGTAAATAGTTGTCTTTTATTATTTATTGGCGCTGTGATTATCTAGGCATTACTGAATATTCAATGAAAAACAATCACTTTTCCAACAATGCAAATTAGAGAATTTATTTTGTATAAGTCGTCACGTGATTACTGGTAAAGGAGCTATTCAAATTCCGGTTTCTAGGGTCACAATACACTAGAAATAGCAATTGATAGATTTACTTAACTTTGGGATGTAAACAAAATATGATTTAAAATAGAACAATTTTACATGCACTTAAGAACATTACGTACGTAAAGACTAAGTTTATGTAAACATTATTTTACGTTTAAAAAATACGTAGAGCTTAAAGTAAACAAAACAAACTCATTTCCCACATCAATCATAAAATTGCATAATAAATCAATGGAATCGATTACTCCATGATGAAAATTATAATTAAAAAGTACCAAAGAGACTGAACACAAAACACATCGAAATAAATAAATTGAGATTTGTATAGAAATAAATTTTCCACAAAAATTCAATAAAATAAAATAAAAAATCAATTTTCGCATAGGCAGATAAAAAGTTTATGCAGCATTGGAAATACTCAATTATTTCAATTCATTTAATCTTCTTTCTTGCTTCAATCTGTCGTCATAGAATAACTTGAGATGAGTTTAATTGCTCGAGTAAGGAAGAAATTGAGACAATATGGAAGTAAGAATAACAAAAAAGAAGCAACAACAATGAAGAAGGAAATTAAATAATCAAGAAGAAGAAATGTATGTTTTAACTGGGTCAAAAAAAGCATGCGACATGTAAAGAACTTTCAAGTTTATTGTAAATAAATTGTTATTACTTCACATGAGCTCACCTTGGTTTGTTGACCTGGATCTGTTATCGGAGAGTCACTGACAAACTGAACTGTTGCTGACTTAGGTGCCATCGATATGGTGCTAGCACTATTCTGACTGTTGTGCGTCAGGGATGGCTCCCCGAGAGTTGAAGTGGAATTAATTTGGTGCATCTGTAGATTATCATTCGACATATTTTTTTATTCTTATCTTTTACTTAAAACTTAATTATTGTACAGCACTCTATTATTACTTTTTTGTTATGTTATTATTATTTTAACTTATTGTGTTACGTATGCAAATATACAGCGCGTTTCTACAATTCGATATTTTTACTTTTTAATGATCTAAAATGACGGCTGAGATTTTTTTTATCTTGTCACACAATATTCGATAATATTTGATACTTTTAGATCACAACAATTTCCTTTGATGTAACGACAATATTTCCACGCCGCAAGTGATTCAAAAGACTGTAGGAATTGAAATAAATATAAAATATGGATTGAAGAGTAAATGAATATATCACATAATAATAAAGTGTCGGGAAAAAGTTGTTTTGCATGAACGATGAGTCGCGCATTTTCTTTTTGATTGTGATCTTTGTGGGATGTTCTGATTTGATTGACTTTCTTGTTGATTGCTTAGGGGCCGTTCACTTATTACGTTACGCAAAAAAACGACTTTTTTCACCCCCCCCCCCCCTTGTTACAATATGTTACAACTCACAACCCCCCCCCCCCCCCTGAACGTTCATAATTTATTTTATCATTAAAAAGGTGGAAAATTAAAAAAAAATGTTTTTGGTGTGAATTTGTAAACAATTTTTTTTTTCGTGAACTTTTTTTAAAAGACAGACGACAGTTGGAACGTTACATACTTCTTGACCCCCCCCCCCCTTTGTTACATTTTGTTACAAATTTTCAAACCCCCCCTCCCCCTAAAATGCGAACGTAATAAGTGAACAGGGGCCGTTTGTGTGATGTGAGTGTGAAAAGAGTTGTGTTTTGCTGACCTTAACAGATTGTTAATTTTTGATTACTATAAATTTTTGAGAATCAGTCAAACCTTCTCGCATACAATACCTCCTATAAGATTCGACTTTATAGATATAGCGCACTATATCTGGAGCCTAGACCCAGAATAGGTTCGACCTGCTAATATGCAAGTAAAAGTTGAAAATCCGAAATAATTTTGGATTTATAGCTTCAAAAAGTTTTAGTATTGTTACTAGGAATCTAGACTTTACTATCATATGAAGTTCTAACCATAAGAACCCTTTGGTATGCAAACATTTTGAAATTCAACAAAAACTAAAGAAGTTCCAATGAATTCAAAAATGCTATTCAGCGTCAGATTCAATCATTTTTAGTCACAATCTGACTCCACAGTTCAACTCAATTCCTTTAATTCAAATGATTGAACGTTTCAATTGCTATTTGTTTACAAACATCATCAACTCATACAGTCGTAAAGGCAAACACTTAGTGTAAGCATATGAACGAACACTTGCATGAGCTGAATAATTCAGCAGCATAAGTCGTTATCGAAACGAAGTCATCAATTAATGTACATAATTTATAGATTCTCAGATAAATTGTAGTTACCAGCACATTTTCTGTTAGAAATTGAGTTTAAAATATGCCACATATACTCAATTGGCATGCCACATTCAATGACAGTGATTAAATCGAGCGAATAAACTTTTTTCCATTTATTTTGCTTTTTGTAACTAAGTGTAAGCTTAGTTCATATTAAAAAAAATAGATAATAATATTTTTTGTTCAATTGATAATTATTTCGAATGTGTACGGTTGTCGTTACCGTAAGCATTTAACATTATTATTTGATAATGTGTTCTGGGTGTGTTTATTTGATGGCACGTTGTGTCAAGCTCATCAGATAATTTGACACCTCTCAATTGACTAATGATTTATCCTAAAAGCCGGCTCTCTATTGCAAATACACTTCACGTCCTCTCTTAAATTATTTTTTGGACAGCACCACAACAAAAACATGTGAATTGATGTGTAAATTAATTGCTAAATACATAGTTGAACAAGTTGGATATTGTTCAAAATTAATTGAATTCTTCCACTGATGGCATTTAAATGTGACATCTTTTTCTTATGTCTTAATTTTCTTCTGCTTTCCTTCTTTATTATCTATCGTAACGTAAACATTCTTATGTGCAATAAACACAAGCACACACTCAGTCTGTATCCGGACAAGGATCGATAAATTTCAATACTTTATTTTTGCGAATGATGATATAACAGAGAAAAATAGAGGGAAAAAAGAAGCCCGAAATTTTCAGTCATGAATGACAGGCAACAATATCCATGTAGTTGATAACTGATTCATATTCTTTTATTTGGGAAAGGTCAATGATTTTGTACATTATATACCAAAACACGAACCACTTCACAATAATAAGTGGATTGCGGTACTTGAATGTAACAATAGAAATTGATTCGTAATCAAAACTATGCTGGCACTGATGTTGATTATGTATGATTCATAAAACATTCAAAACCAAAAAAATCACAATCAATAGAAAATCTATTTGCTTTGTTGTATTCTCTCTTATGCTTAATGAATTAATTATTTGATGTAACTTGAGTTCTTATCAATTCACTTTTTACCTAAGTTTTTGGAAGTTAATTTTCAAGCTAATTTATACACAGAAAAACTGACAGAAACCTTAATATAACATCTTTTAAAAATAAAACAAGAACTATAAATGTTTCGAAGAATTATTCGTGATCCGAGGGCGACGTAACTGAGAAAATTTCCAAAAAATACTCAACATAGCATTCTCATCGTTCCTACATACTCATGCTCATGTTCGAAAACCGGCCTTTGAATTTTGAAGGATGTTTGCAACGTCATTTTTAATTTAACTACTCTACTTGCTTTTGTAGACTGACTTAGCTGTTAAAATAACATTCCTGGAGTATAATACATTATAATATCCAATTTTAAGATGGATTCGTTCATACTGTTGTTGATGACTTTTCACTGATTTGTTAACCAAATAAACTTTTAAAAAAAAGATGCAGAGTTTTTAGTAGGACATTTATGATCCTCTCATGTGCTTTATTAAATATTAATTTGTATCAATTTCAAATAAATAAGTTACAATGCAATAAATAAATATTATTTAAATTAAGAATCTATGACTGAATTGAGCATTTTACTTTTCTTGATCCTTAACATATTTTGTTACTAAATCAGTAGTTTCGATCGTAGGATTAACAGTTATCTCCTCTTCCGATGCAGTTTGATTTCTTTTTCTATAGAATCGTCTTCGTTTTTTGGTAGAATATCCTTCTTTTGGAATCTCGCAATCGGAATAAAGTTTCTCGCAATCTGCGAATTTCTTTGGATACTTTGAACTCTCTTTGTCTAATCGGTAGTGCTTGAATACGTCGTTGCTGTGAATAATTTAATTACTACTTTAAACGTTTGAGAAAAGCTTAATAATACTTACCCGATATAGTTTAATGCATAAGACATGAATGGATTTCTAAAGTCTAATTCACAGATGAATCGTCGTTTACAGGATTCAGATTTTACTCCCAGAAAACGGAACATTAAGTCACTTAACATGGCAGCTGGTGTGTCATTAATTGCTCTGCCGGTATATACATTTCTTCTATTTGGAGGTAAATATGAATTAGTTGGACCATCACTACTCCCTGATCCTGAAGAAATTATAGAAGAAAGTGATTGTGGTCCTGATGGTGGTCCACCTGAAAAGCTTGATTGTGATCCACTTGAAAAGCTTGATGGTGGTCCACCCGAGAAACTTGCTGGTGTATTAGAATAAACACTGCTATCATAGCCTGAATAACCCGAGTATCCAGAATATGCATCTGGCGGTGGTGCTGAATAGCTTATATCAGGCGAAAGTTGTCCATGGTATGGAAGAATGTCATGAATATCATGATGCTTAATTTCAGAAATAATAGGTTCTGGGCATCCGAGAGCTGAGCCTTGCCATACTTTCAATCCATAAAAGATTCCACCACCGATGAACAGCACAAGAAGAATAATTTTGATTTTTACAGTTATCAAAACTGAGAGTGCCTTCAATCCCCACCCTATCAGAGATGTAGAAAAGGGAGAAAAGAAAGAAATTAATGTTTATTTAGACATGAAATGATTTCGACAATGTGTAAATTGATCGCATTTTTAAGTACTAATTGGAAAGTCTGTCTCTATATTATTTATCTTTATTGTATATAACTTATAACATTTCAAATTTTCTCCGTCATTTTTTGTTTATGAATGCCTAAATTAAAACTTCCTAGACCGACTTTCGCTTTGACTTCGTCTATCGTCTTTTCAGCTACTTCTCTAGCCTTATCATTTCCTTTTTCTAAAATACTCTGAAGATAATCAGGATTCTTGAGATAATCTTCAACTTTCAATCTAATTGGATTGAAATGCTCAACTAACGCATCAGCAACCACAAATTTGTATCTGAAAGTGAAAGAATTTAATTATGACTGTAATTATATCAGGCAAATTAAGTCATACTGTCCAGTGTCCAAATGCTTAACTTCTTCACAAATTGTCTCGATACTTTTGTTGCTGGTTAATGAGTGTATTGTTAATAAGTTTGCGACACTTGGTCGGTTTACTGGATCAAATGTAACTTGAGAAATGAAATCAGTCAGAGCTTTCTTCACTTTCGTAGTCATTTGATCAGGCGTGTCTTCAATCATCACGCAACTTTTTGGATCAGGATCTGATTTTGACATTTTTTTGGTCGCATCACGAAGTGACTTTATTCTACAGCTGAGATCCTCAGAAATCATTGGCTGACATGTTGGGAAAGTATATCCAAAACGGTTATTGAAATTCTTAGTTAAATGTTGAGCTAGTTGAATATGCTGGATTTGATCTTCACCGACAGGAACGAAATTTGTCCTGTTAAGGAAGTACTTTATATTTAATCAATTTAAGACAAATTAGGAATTCGTACTTATAAAGCATAATGTCAGCAGCTTGAAGAATTGGATAAAGATAAAGACCTAAAGGAATCTCTTTCAGTTTCGCTGATTTATCCTTGAATTGTGGCAAGTGAGTTAATCGTGCCATAGTCGTTATGCAGCTTAATATCCAGCATAATTCAGAATGTTCCTTAACTTCCGATTGTAAAAATAAAGTTGCCTTTTCAGGATTGATTCCGCAAGCTAATAGATTAGCGCATAGCTTTAAAGTGTTTTCAGTCAGCTGTTTTGGTTTTTGCGGCAAAGTTATAGCATGTAAATCAACGATACAGTAAGTGACATCATATTCACTGTCTTGCAACTCAATCCATTTCTTGATAGCTCCAAAGTAATTGCCAATATGAAGATTCCCAGTTGGCTGTATTCCCGAAAATACCTTTTTAGGCTTTTGATTCTATTTTGAATATCTTTATTTTAGCACATTTTTGTTAATTTATCAATTCCACTCAATACTCACAACTGAATCACTATATTTTCTTAACACTCTATTAGCTGACACTTTAAGCAATCGCTTGCTTAACATTTTCACACAATTTTCTTTTTATTTCTCATAGAATTAATTAATTTTCATTTCAATTAAAATATTCACAATTATTTTAACAAAAACATTCGAACTTTCACATTTTTAAAATCTCAATAACCGTTAATCATTTTTACAATAGACGCATGCTGCATGATGAATAAGATTGAAGCATGCTTGACTTGTCACAAATTGAGAGATGAAAATTAATAAATTATAGGTTCATATTCGTTCTAATAACGCAGTTAATTACTTATTTTGAAATCGAATCTTGTCGTATTACATTCACTTTTGATATCATTTGACTTGCTTTACTTTAAAGCCATAGCACACAAATATTTTGGAAAACTGTTCCTAGATCTTCAACTTACACCACAATTGATGACCAAATTGAAAACGTTTTCGTCTTCTTCGAGCTTCATCGTCTACAGCTCGTCCATTCTGTGCTGTAATTTGAGTTGAATTCGATTCAGCTGACACAAACACGAAAAGATACAGAATTAGCACTAACGAGAATATTATCTTGACCAGCTTTATCATTTTTTATATCCTTTAATAATGCACTAGCTTAAAACACCCAAAAATATAAACTTCCCGTACACAGTTTGGAAGTAAACTGAGAGTCAATTCCTCTGTCAAAAGTCTTTTATACATCTTCTTTCTTTTTTTTGACAATTTTCCATCTCCAATCTCTCACAAAAATCATCTCATCACATACATACGTGTGTATAGAATGTGTTAAGATAGAAGCCAGGCTAGCTCTTAATCGCTAGCAATACAGAAATTTTCTTATTAATTATCAAGTGAGATTGGAACAATATAAAGGTAATTATATCAGCCCGTGACTGTTTAATTTGTCACTCGTAGTGATTATCTTTACGCGTCATGTGCTTCATGTAAGATCCGACTAATATTATTACGACTAAGTGCCTACAAAGTCAGTCGTGAGAATTTCACCGAATAAAAGTGTAAGTTGCATTATAGGGTTGTAGGTAATTGATAAAAATATTGAAAAGGTGTGAATCACTTTCTTTTTCATTTGTCAGGCATTGCTAAAAATGAAAATTTTGTGTTTAAATAATTCATTAGTAACATCCAGTCGATAATCATTTTCCTTTTTGACAATAGCTTACGTGTCAATGCACTTTTGATGTGAGTCTGAACAAGATTACATGAAGAATTTAGAAGCACATGGCAATGAAAATGACTCTGTGCATCTTTCAAGAATTAAGGATAGATGTCAATCTCATTTCTACATCTATGTTTATTAATAAAGAAGTCACTCAAAATTTATGTTTAAATTTAAATTGGATTTAAAGTCAAATTCTGTGACATTTCATTCCAAAAAATCCTTAAAGCCTGTAATAGTCAATATGACTAAAATCAATTAAGGACAAATTTCATTATTTTCAAAAAGTTTCTATTTTTTAAAACTCAAGTTGATCTATTTTACAACCAAAAAGCAGGGACATCAGTAAGGAAACACAGAAAACAAATCTTTTTCTTTTGATAAAGAAATATGCAAAAAGTAACAAATAAAAAATTTATATAGCACTTATGTTTTGTTAGTAAAGTAAGATTGATAAAACATTCCTAATGAGGACGATGCAAACCACACAAAGCAACTCCACCATGTTGCGAATCCAAAAATGCCCCGATAAACGTCTTCAGTAAATACTTGTTTTAAATTCTGTAAGGATAGGTGAAAATTTTGTGCGACTTGAATGAATGTGGCATCAGTCGTTGCTTCTTGTTCCGTTAGTGGAGATTCTGTTGGCATTGAATTAAGTTCAAGATCAACAGAACATTCCTCGATAGGCAAACTCGAGGACCATGACCATGAAAGTCCTCCGAGTGATTTATACATGAACGATAGAAATAGACACATGAGAATTGGCGCTGTGTATTGTAGAGTCACAACACAAAGGTAGTAAAAAATTGATGTGATTTTCTATAAAAGAAATACAATCAGTCAACAATTAATGAAAATGAAAGTTATTTACTTGTTTGAATTCGACATTTGTAATCCGTCCAGCTTCTTTCTTTTGCTCTTCAATACGATCATATGCCAGATTTAAATAAGCTTGTAAATAAATAGGCATTAGTATCATTCGGAGAAATACTGCTACAATTATCGTCATCAAGCGAATTGATTCAAATATTTCAGGTGTCATACTAGAAAAGAAATGAGAAAGACTCACTCGTGAGATGCTAATCAATGGATATAACATTTAAGGTAGAAGAGCACATACATTGGATTGTTCATTCCAGAGAAGACACGTTCAGTAAGATAATCACGACTAATTGGCTTAATCCATAAAAGCACTAGCACAAAAGGCAATGCAAAGTTAATATTTAGCAACAGCTTCAACATTTTACGATCTTTGCAGTATCTGAGCGAGTCAAAATGCATTTTTGCCATCCTCAATCCGGGAAATGTGAAAAGAGCCCCTAATATTCCACAAAAGACAGCAATGAAGAATAGTAAGACGACTTTTGAGGCAGGTCCACTATTTGATATTCCTTGTTCTGCTAGGAATTTCGATGCACCTTCATTAAACTTTTCGTATGCTGTATTCAGTCCAACTTCGAGTATTCTTTCCGGAACTATAACAATCATCATGGCAATCAGCAAGTAGACAAGCCCAGTGACGATACACGTTGATCTTTCACCAATTGACTCATCACTTTTAAAGTATTGAACGGTTAAGGAAGCAAGTAGTTTACTACAAAAAAGAAATATGAAAAGTTGAGAATTTTATGAGTACATATAGAGCTGTTAATTGACTTACAATGCGAAAAAGATTACCAATAAGCACCATAACATGCTTAGATTGACTTCATCTTTAATCGGTATGAAGTAATGATAAGTTTCAGAAATTGTGTACACAATTATTGAGTAAAGACTAAAGTCGATGAGCCATTGATATTCTGTAAAGTATCTTAAATGCACTACATCAAATTGAGTGATGTTTGTAGTCTCTAATGTTATATCGAGATTTCGTGGAATATGAAAGGTTGAAGACTTTTCTGTTGAATGTCCATTCCTTTTATCTTTTCCTTTTCCACCTTTCTCCTTTGGTACACCAGCTAATAGTCTCAGATCTTCATCCGTTGGATGCAAATATCTAATGAGACTGTATATACACAAGAGATTAGCAACATATTCAGTTATTATGCAATTTATGAATTACCCAGTTGAACATAAAAACCATTTTGCTAATGAAAAATGCGGACTGACTTTCTGTATGATGCTTACAAATACTAGAGTTATTACAAGCTGAGCTCCCAGCAGTGCCTACCGAAGTAAAAATAGATTATTGTGTATTCTAAAATTAGAACTATGCACATGATTTTGATTTTCCTGTAAAATTGGGTCAATTCGGAATGATAGAAGGAAGTGTCATATCAGAACGTTTAAGCTTGATACTCACCATTGCTTATTACAATTAATTTAAATAAGTGATGCTGTAAATTATGCTCTATTCATTTTTTCCTTTCCTTGGATCTTTCTTGAAACTTCTTTTCTTGTTGATTTCTATGTTATTTACAGAAACGTTGCTGCTTATCCTTGTTTCTGTGGATTTATAGCTCTAATTAGCAATTTTTTTAATTATGTTAGAGTCAATTTCTGATTTTTCTTTTAAAAAACTTAATTCTTAAAAAATATCAAGAATTATCCAAGTAAATGAGCTATAACTAAGCAACACTCAGCAAATGAGTTTGAATTAGTCTGTTGTCATTGATATTGAGTTGCAGAGATGTTAATTAAGCTAATCTTTGAGCTTTTTCACTCTGCATGAATTTATTTTTGTTTAAATTCGACTTTCAATTGGAAAACGTCATTACTCTTGATATTATTCACTTACATATCATTTTTATCACGTTTTTAATCACTTTAGATTACTGTAAACACCGTAGTTTAGTGTAATTAACAAAATTTCTGATTTGTTTACATTCAATGTTTTGAAATTTTTAAACTACTGGAAACTGCTATAATTCAAAAATTTAAAATAAAAATGTTCGATACAAAACTACTAGAAATTATGGCAAGACCCAGATTAAACCAGATTAAACTAGCTATAATTGATATAACAGCTGTAATTGATAACAGGTTGACTGACAGTAAACCATAGTCCGTTGAAAAACTTCACATGAATATTGAGCAACTAAAATGTATAGGTATGTGTGACTGTATTTCTATGACAACCAGTGAAAACATAAACAAACTTTAATGCTCTTAAAAGTTATATGAAATACTCATTAAGTACCGCTTAGAAATGGACGAAAAGGATTATAAATCACTCATACTCATTGCTGGACTTGATAAGTTCTACAATACAATGAATACGCTGTGTGTAGAGGCTATTTCTAAATTTGGAAGTTCCAACTTTCGGTTTTTAAATGGAATCTCATTAATATTAGGGAATAGGCTACAGGAAGGAATAAGGGAACTAAACAACTTAGTAAATGATTTGGATGTAGGAATTGGAAGCATTTTGGCATTGATTTATGGCCACAAGAAATCTACAATGGTCGATAAAGATGCTGTTGCCAATTTGGAGCAAAAAATCAAAGAAGAACGAAAAAGGATTAATGCAAATTCAGCATATTTTGCGTCATTATTTCTATTTTTATGTGGAAAATATGATAAAGCTAAGGAGTATGCTGAAAAAACAATAAAATTTCATTCCGATCATACAGATTCTCTCGTTCTCAAGGGATACTGTCTGCTTCAAATGAATCAAAAGAACAGAGTGACACTTGAGCTTTTTGAACGTGCCACAAATATTTCTGAATCCATTTGTGCAACCTTAGGACAAGTTAGATATCATCAGCAAAATAATGATTTCGAGAAAGCTATATCCATTCTTAATCGTCTTTCTGTCAAATATCCACAATTGAATATGCCTTTGGTGGAGAAGATGAAGACATACTTAGCAAGTTGGGATTATGAACAGGCTTTTGAAACTGCTTACCGCATTCTTAACATAGAGCCACAAAATATTGAAGCATTAAGGATTAAAACTATTGTGATGTTGTGTCGTGATGGAAAAGTTGAAGAATCTTCTGAAGTATTAAATACCCTTTATAAAGCACTTGAGAAGTTAGAACCTAGCAACAGTGAAATTTATTATGAAATAGCACAATTGTTTTCGCGATGTTGTGGACGAAACATTAAAATTTTGGCTGAAACGTATCGGTTTGCTGAAAAATCTAATATTTTGGCACCGACCAATTCAAATTATTTGACTGAACTTGGCTTTGAATGCATTTTGTTAAAGCAAGTCAAGAATGCGGTAAAATTCTTTCGCAATGCTACTAAAATTGATGATAATTCAATACAGGCACTATGTGGCTTGACAATGTGTCAATTACTTGATTCAGGATATTCAACACAAGTCAGTCAACAAATTGAGTTTCTCTCTGAAATTCAAGGAAATAATAACAAGAGCCCACTGTTGCTGCTTCTTTCTGCAAAAATCTCACCTGACAAACCTAAGCACGCGATATCATTTCTAGTTGAAGCCAGTGAAATTCATTTCAAAAATTTAAAGACATTATCCTTTGGATGTGAGTACCTTCGCATCTTTGATCCTGATTTCCTTCTCCAACTATGCAAAGAACTTCTTCAGTACTGTCCAATTCAGCAAAGTATAACTATGAAGTCATCAATGCCTCGAGAAAGTCTACATATTTCATTAAAGAACAGCATGAACATACTAGAAGCTATTGTTAAAGCAGTTCCTGGATCGTGTGAAGCTTTATATCTTCTAGCACGAGTTCAATTTTTAAGTGGTGAAACTGGTTCCTCTGCAATGTCACTACAAAAAATTCTACAAGAAATAGATCCTACATTTACACCAGCACATCTGCTCATTGCACAAATTCACATACAGCAAAATAATCACCAAAGAGCATCACAGAGTTTGGAGATTTGTCTAAGTCACGACTTCAAGATACGTGACAATCCACTTTACCATTTAATTTGTGGAATTGTTCAGAAAAGTCAACAGAAATATGAAGACTGCCTGAAAAGTTTCAAGATGGCAATGACACTGTGTGGATACTACAATATTTCAAATGCCGATGACACTTCAAATAAATCAAAAAACAATCCAGACAAAAGTTCACTTGGACTAGCAGATTTGGTTTCATTATTCCTAGAAATGATCAACACATACATTTTGATGAATGAAACGACAGAAGCTTCAAAGTTAATGCAAGTAAGTCTTCTTTTCATGATTGCTTATTTTGCCAAAAAATAATCCTTATCTTACCGCCTTTATTTTATTCACAGTTTGCAATGAAGGAATTTGAGAATACGCCTGAAGCTGGGAGGGTTGTAATTGCAAATGCTGATTTATATCTATCTCAAGGAAATGTATCAAAATCATTGGAATTACTGTCGAACATAAAATCCGGTCAAACTTATTATCTTCAGGCAAAAACCAAAATGGCACACATTTATTTGGTCAATAAAAAGGATAGATTATCATTTGCTCAATGCTTTAAGGAGCTTGTTCATAATAATCCTGGACCAGACAGTTTTATTATGCTTGGCGATGCTTATATGTCTATTCAAGAGCCTGACGAAGCAGTTGAGGCTTATCGACAAGCAGTTTTACAAGATCCTAATGACCCATCGTTGGCAGCAAAGCTTGGCAGAGCGTACGTAAAAACTCATCAGTATAAAAAGGCTATATTGTATTATAAGGATGCAATAATGGCACCTGAAAACTATCAATTGAAATTGGATCTTGCAGAATTGTATTTGAAATTGAAGCAATTCACCAATGCAGAACAGATAATACTTGAAGATATTGAAACTAATCAAAGACATGATGATGACCTGGGCAAGCTACAGACGAGAACAAAATTGCTTCTTTTGTTAGCAAGAGTACGCGAAAAGAGTGGGAATATTAATTCATCTCTCTCAACATTAAAGGAAGCACGTGACAACCAGCACAGAATACAACATCGTTTGAGTCTCGATCAAAATGCAAATGTACGTGAACAACATAAAATTCTATCTAAAATATGTGCATTGATGGCAGAACAATCGATTATGATTCGTGATACGGATCAAGCAATTTTGCATTATAAGGAAGCCATAAGGTATTCACCACAAGAGACAACTCAACAGGCTGCTCTTGCAAAACTCTTCATGCAACTTAATCGAATGCAAGAATGTCAATCAATGTGTGCTGTAATATTGGATAATGATCCGAGTAATGAAACAGCTCAAATAATGATGGCTGACTTATCGTTCCGTAAAATTGATTTTGAGAATGCAGCATATCACTTTTCCCAATTAATATTGAATAAACCAACTTATTGGACTGCACTTGCACGCTTAATTGAAGTTATGAGACGATCGGGATGCTTAACAGATGTTTCTACATTTATGGAACGTGCTGAAGAATCTGCTGAAAGCCAAATGGATGCTGGATTAAATTATTGTAAGGGATTATACGATTGGTATACGTGCAATCCCAATGCAGCATTAAGGTTCTTCAATAATTGCCGTCGTGACTCTGAATGGGGAAAACAAGGTGTATTCAACATGATTGAAATATGTCTTAATCCTGACAATGACTTACCATCCGAATTGGAAATAAACGAAACCCCAGAAGATATCGATATAAATAATTCCAGACAAATAGCATTAAAGACTGCTGAACGATTGTTGAAAGAACTCAAGCCCAAAACATACAACTCGCTTGATAATGAAGCATTAAATCATAAATTACTTGAGAATTTTCTACTGCTGGCTACACGCCAGAAAGCTAATATAGAGAAAGCTCTCAATAATTTCAATAGCATAGCAAGTCAAGATGAGTTTAAGGACAATATTGGTGTAATTTATGGCATGGCTGCATGTTATGTTATGTTGAAGCAAGGACAACGAGCCAAAAATCAGTTGAAACGTATAAGCAAGAATTTATGGACATTTGAGGATGCTGAGTATTTAGAGAGATCATGGTTGCTCCTTGCTGACATTTATATCCAAGCCAGCAAGTATGATATTGCATCTGACTTGCTACAAAAAGTATTGAAGCATAATAAATCGTGCTCTAAAGCTTATGAACTTTGTGGCAGCATAGCTGAAAAGGAACAAAGTTACAAATCTGCTGCTATGCATTATGATCAGGGTAAGGTGAATCCAAATTTAATTTCCTCATGAATAATTAAAATGTTTTTTTTTTGTGTCTTTATGTCTTTTCAGCATGGAAATTTTCTGGCAAACAACGACCAGGCATCGCACACAAATTGGCTTATAATAATATGAAATCTAAACGATATGCTGATGCGATTGACGTGTGTCAACAAGTCCTCAAAATTTTCCCCGACTATACGACTGTACGAGACATTTTCGAAAAATGTCGAAACAATTTAAAGGCATAAAATGTGATTATATGTTGATATGTCCTTACTTATGTACTCTTTTATTATCCGTCCAAATTAAAGCACTGAATACTATTTTTATGTAGATTTATCGTTGATTAAGTTGTCTTAATAAAATTTATAGTTTTGGAATTTACACTGAGATTGCATGACTGGATATTTTGACTGCTTAATTATTTCAGATTATTCTGATTTGATTGTAGGTTTGGGAATTCAGGAATATGACTTCTGATTTGAAAATGAGCAGGATAGGTTCAGGAATCAATCGAAAGCCATCAATATAGGACTTATGATCCAATTTAATATCCTGATCCCATTTTGTTCACCACTACTAATCTTAGGATTACTGTTGAGAGAGAAAGAGCTAAATAGTCTTTATCAAATATCTCAAGCTGCTCAAGAGGGTGCGAGGCTAATTATATTTCAACGAAGGATGGTTCGTCAGACTATTTCACTCAAACCTAGAACTAGAGGTATCTAGCTGGCTTTTTTTTTCATTTTAATTGCACTTTATTGCATTTATTGACGAAATACTGTGCGGTAATAATTCACATTTTACACTTTTGTATTTGTACACATATGAATTAGTATTATGTAGGATCAAACTGCTAATCTAGGTTTCAAATAAACTAAGGCTCTCGTTCCTATTTCTCCCGCTACACTTCAAGTTCCTGACCCGTTCCTTAATCCAACGTTGCCCAAATGCCCAATTATTGCTTGATCTCCTACATTAAGCAGTCGAAGTTTCTAAACTTCCGAAAAAGAACAAATTTGGAAATGGCTGGATTCAAACCGACGACCTTCGAGATACCATCCCAAATTTGAGCCAAGCGCCTTACCTATTCGACCAGCAAGGCACTTAACTGCTTAGGGCCCGTTCACTTATTAACTTATTAACAAAACGACTTTTTTCACCCCCCCCCCTCCCCCCTTGTTACAATATGTTACAACTCACACCCCCCCCCCCCCCCCCTGAACGTTCATAATTTATTTTATCATTAAAAAGGTGGAAAATTTAAAAAAAATGTTTTTGGTGTGAATTTGTAAAAAAAAATTTCGTGAACTTTTTTTTAAAAGACAAGACACTTAGAACGTTACATACTTCTTGATACACCCCCCCCCCCTAAAATGCGAACGTAATAAGTGAACGGCTTATGCTCCCATGATTAATAACGAAGCTACTTCACCAACGAGTCACTTCAGCTCATATGCAATATTAAGAGGACTTAGTTAAGGTTTAAAAAGGTAAATTGAGTAAAATGTCAACGGTTATTGAGTTAAAAAATCATAAAACGTTTATTAATTTTTCATTAATTAACTTTCATCATTTTTATGCTGTTCTTCTAGTACAGGTTCATGAATTTATTTTCTATTCTATATAATAATAATTATTATTATTTTCATCATATATATCATCATCGTAATTAATATTTATATGATAAGAATTTTCTTTCCTTTATTCATTTAAACTGACCATAATAATTAATTCTTTATAAAAAGAAAAAAATATTGAAAAATCATTGAGAAATGTCGATGACTCAAACATAATATTTTTTTTTTCATATATATATATATCATTATTTAATGTCTTTAGGTCAAAATAGGACTCACAAAATTATAAAAATCACCTTTCTAAAACAAAAGAAATTAATTTTATTTTTCTCACAAAACGAAAAACTTTTTTTTAATTTTTTTTATTATCCTGAGCTTATCTTTAAGATAGTTTTCAAATTTATAGTCATAGAAAAAAGGAAATTCAACAAAAGGAAAGGTCTCAGATTTTCTAAATAGATTTTTTTAAGGTATTATTGCTTTCTGATAAGATGAAAATTATTATTTTTATATCCACTCAAATAAAATTAGATCCACGAAATTGAATGAAGAGAGAGATAGAGAGAGTTATAGAAAGAAAGGCACAGCCTCTTCTTCTTTTTTTTGTTAAGTTAATATTCATTTCCTATTTACAGCTGGCCATCTAAAATACATTTCTCGACGAACAAAAATGATGAGGAAATGAAATCAAATGAAAGGAAATAAGTCTTTAAATATATCAATTAATTAATCATTTTTTACTTGTTTTTATGTCTATACACTCCTTAACATTTACTTATACCTTAGATTTATAAATACATGACACTTTTATACAGTTCGAATTTTTTTCTGTTCTCATTTATGATAAATGCAGAGCTAATTCTAATGCGGGCGACTCCAACATTGTTGGCATGAGTAGGAAAATATCTGGAAGTGATATTATAACTGAATTGGATACTTGCCTAGGCGACACACTGTGATAAGTCTTATCCGAACATACAAAGAGCATGCTCAAAAAAGTGAGCATATAAGTGAGTCTACTCAAAAATTATACTCATGCAAGCTCATTCAACTGAGCATGCTCAGGAGTTCATTACGAATGTACTCACTTTATTTTTTTGCAAAAAAATTATAAGCTCACGTGAGTACATTCAACGAGTGTACTCATGAGAATATTAAGAACATACTTATGCGAATACACTCGTATGAGTGCACTTACTGAACATTCTCATAAGAATATTAAAAACATACTCACTTCTGTGTGACATAATTTTTTTACGTTCTCATATGAGTGCACTTACTGAACATGCTTATGGGAATATTAAGAACATACTCGTGGGTATTTACTCTTCTGAATACACTTTTTTAACATACTCATGAGCATATAATTAACATAATTATATCTTTATGACATTTTCAAAAATGTCGACCAACTTAAAATCGAACTTAGAATACATTTTTATGTAAGCCGACATTTTCAAAAATGTCGACCAACTTAAAATCTAACTTAGAATATATTTTAATGATAGTCGACATTTTTTAAAATGTTATTTTTAAAAAATTGTCAACCAACTTAAAAGCAAATGTTGAATATTTTAGATATGTAATACAAAAATACGAAAATTGTTACAATTTTAAGTTTTCTGAAATAAATGTCAAGGACTTAAATTGAAAATTACTTTGCTTTTAAAAAACTATAAGAATTAAGCACGATCAAAATCTTTTGGCTTTCATGGAACTAATATTTGAATTCATAAAATATTTTCAAAAAATGTCGACCTGCATAAAAACGTATTCTAAGTTTAATTTTAAGTTGGTCGACATTTTTAATAATATGTTCTCACGATCGTACTCTGATCAACTCAAATATTTCGTAAAAATATAGTTCAATTAAGCAGCGTATCAAACTTTAAAGAACTAAGTTTGCCTGTAATAATATAATAATTTAAGTATGTGTTTTGCCATATAAAAATTATTATATATTTACAGAAAATTGCTCCAAGGAAAATTGTGAGGTGATAGAAGTTAAGCAACGCAATAGGTTTTTCTACAAGGATGGGTGACCGGTTTTTAAAACTTCCTTCTTAAGTATTTGAGATAAAATGTTAATAATAATTTCTAACTCTTCCAAAACTACTCACAGAATTGTCCTTATAAAGCTCAAATTTAGGTTAATTAATTTTTTGAATTTTGTGACTTTAACTGATTGCACTCATGCATCTGCTCAGATGAGCATATACTCATAAATAAACTCACTGAGCATATATCTTTTGAGTATCTTCATGAGTATAAGCTCTTTGAGTATGTTTATGAGTATATGCTCTTTGAGAATGTTAATAAGCATATTCAATAAAAAATGTTGCATTAAAAAAATGTTGCGTGTGGCATGTTGCCTTCTCATTTGAGTATGCTCATGAGTTTACTCAGTGAGCTTAATGCATGTCACATAGGAATGTGCTCACTGAGCATACTCAAAAAGGTACCGTGATCGCATCACTTTAATGTATGAAATGAACACATTCTCACAAAAGTTTGCAAGCTCACAAATAATGTGCTCTGAGTATACTCATTGTATGTTCGGATTATTATCGATCATATCATTCGATATATCCGAGAATCAAAACAATATTATATCCAAATCAAGTAAAATACCACTTCCCATGTATATCTCACTCAAGCTATTTATCTAAGCACTTCAGTATTCCAGGACTGTTTGTCCAACATCCAAAAACTTTATAAAAATCATCTGATTCAGAGAATTAATCGTATCTACTACTAAGGAAAAACATTCCGTATTCAAATAAATTAGTAAACACTGCTGAGTCCCGTCAATAATCAGCTCTGGATGAATGTGAATGAATTTAAGAAAGAAAATGTGTGATAAAAATAATAAAGAATTTGAAAGAACAAAAAGAAAAGCTTCTGATGAATTTAAACAATAATGAAAGGCTTCAATAAATGCAGAATGAAAGGAATATGTCAAATAAAAAATTATATATTGGAACATAATGCTTATGGAACGGATTCATAACGTATAACTAAATGTTGGGACAGGTACCCGATGAGCGTGGTCAATTTTAAGTGGGATTTTATTATTTAAGATGTGACGTTTATTGATCTTGGTCTGGTTTCTTGTAGTGGCTATACTAGGTTATATTTAAGAAACAGAGCCAATATAGAAATAAACTTCGTAGTTCGCTAAGTCTTAGATATAAAACTAGCTCCGTAAGACCAAACAAGATTCCACTTCCAGGTGATGTGCTCTTCGGGTTTTATTAATTAATTTTATCATTATTTAGTTTCAAAAACTTTTTAAAGGACAATTTCTAGACAAAAACAAACTTTTCTCATTTAACCATCTATCACGATCCTATATTGTAATCCATTTCCAAAAAGAGAAAACATCCACGTCTCGCAACTAATTCAAACATCCTTTTTTTCGACTTAATTTATAGTTTTTTATAAGTTTTAAAAATCAGAAACTTGATCATGTGACGATGCTGTCTTTGCTAATGAGTTGCTTTACCTAATTTATCTAATTTTATAGAACAAATCTTTAGCTAATTTTTGATCAATCGAAAATTGATAAGAAATATTTTTTTTTGTAATCTTCATCGTCACAATTATAAAAGTATAGTTTCAACTTCGCCTCTTTCGTCGCTCTCGAAATAAAGAATTTTAAAAATTGAAATAATTTATAGTATCATTATGATATATATTAAATATATACCTAAAGAGAATTTAATGTGTTATGAATCGCTTCTTATTCCATACTTCGACTTGATAATTTATCGTTATTATTACTTGATTTAAATTCACTTCGTACTTCTGTTTAGAAAAAAACATCACTCGCTTTGATATTATTATTTTTCCTTAATTTTTCAATGACAATTTTTCATATTTTAGTTTTAGGCACACTTTACTTATATAGTTATGTTATCATTCAGGAGGGAAGAAATGAAATGCTTACAGCATGAATCATAAGAAATACAAAATAATAATAATAATAATAAAGAATTTAACAGAAAAATGACTTATTTGGAGGCAGAATAAGTAATAAAATTAATTTAAAAAATAAAGAAAAAAAAGTGTTTGTTTGACTTTATCAACTTAATCAAGTAGTAGTAATTCTTTCCATTACTTCTCATCTCATTCTTATATCATTATTAAACTATTAAAAACATTTTTTAATGTATAGGAAGAAGGAAGATTAAATGTTTTGTTTGTGTTGTGTGATTTTTTTTTTCAATTAACTTTTAACTTATTTTTCTCTTACTTTTTTCTTTTGGATTTCTTTTAAGAGTTTCTTTTTCAATGAAGGAAAAATGTTTCATCGTTTGCATTAGTGCCCTTTTGTTGCCTCTTTAGCTGCTATTATTAATGGTGTCAGACTAGCCAATGGACGTGCGAGTTTTAAGAAAGAATGCTACAAATGAAATATAAAGAAAGAAATAGGTTGGAATTTATTAGTAAATTCTATTAGAATCTTAATTAAAGTTAAACGAAGCTATTTTATAAGTTTTCTTATGCTTTATACGCTCCTAACGTTTTAATCTTTTAAGCAACTTTAAAATGTAAATAAACATTCAAATAAAGTTGAAATTTGATTAGAAAATTGTTTGTTTACACTTTGTTATAGGGCGATTCTACGAATGATTTTTTCTATAAATTTGTCTCCAAATCTATATTTCTCTTTATCAATTGCATTACTCCCCATGTTTCATGTATTTAATAGTAGATTTTTACCGAGATCTACATATTGTTCTCACCCAAACATATTAAAAACGGTTAATTAAAGAATTATTTACATTCTACGAAAAATTACTCTGTTTCACATGAATTTTTTCGCCCAAATTTCCAAAATGTTTTCATTAATATCTTTAAGGTGGTAAAATTTCCAGTAATACTAAGTAAACAAAGTTATAGCTTAAAGTAAAAGCTTCAAAACGATGTCAAAATCATATTTGTGGAAGCCTTAATTAAGCTGTAATTGGGATTCTACGAAAAATTTCATTAGTGAAACAGAGTAATTTGGAGACAATTCCAAAAAAAACTACCAAATATTAAAATTAAAACCATGAATTTCTCAAGCCAAAGCTAAGTAATTTGAGTGCAGATGTAATCATAATTCACAGTTTAACCAATAGAAAAGGAAATGAGAATTAGATTTTTGAAAAACTATGCACAAGTGAAAATGAAATAATTAAAAAATTTCATACAATTGACATGGATTATTTTCATGAAACCTTTTCGTAGAATTGCCCTTTACTGAATCAGCTGAATGGTGCTTGATTTAGCTAAATAGCTGCTTAATCAGCTGAATGATTGTTGAATTAGGTAAACAGTTGCTGAATTAAACTATGTTGAACTTAAAAGTCTCCGAAAATGCTCACCTTTAACAATTCAGTAGCACTTGATCGCTGATCTACATCAACTTCAAGGCATTGATCAAGGAAATCTTGAAACACTGGACTCAATTTCTCCTTCTCTTTAATCTCAGGTTTACCATGTGTTGCAATTAAATATAACGCACGTAAGGGATTTTCATTCTGCAATGAGGAAATTAATAATTAATAAAAACTTAATGGAAGCTGTAGAGGTAGAAGAATAAACTTACAAGATAAGGAGGCTCGCCCTCGATCATTTCTATAAAAGCACATAAGAAATTGAATTAATTAATATTTAATATCAAGTCAATTAATTTTATTCATACCTATAGCCATAATTCCAAGACTCCACAAATCAACTTTTGGTCCATACTGTTTCCTTGTTACTACCTCTGGCGCCTATTGTTTTATTATTAGTAAATTATTAGCTATATTGGATATAAAAAAATGAATGTCAAGCTTACCATCCAATATGGTGTGCCAACCATAGTAGTTCGTTTTGATTGCTCAGGTGATATTTGTGCGCAAAAACCAAAATCTGTTAACTTAACGCTACCATCCAAACCCAATAATATATTGTCACTTTTAATGTCTCGATGTATCACTTGGTTGTTATGAAGGAACTCGAGAGCTTGCAGAACCTCACGACACACGGCTGCAATTTGTCCTTCGTCCATGCACGTCTCCGTTACAACATCGGTAAGAGAACCGCCAGGTAAATATTCCATTACAACCCATAGCTCCTCCGACACGAGATAGCTGTCCAAATAGTTTACAACATTCGGATGCTTATTCTCTCGCATCACTAAAATTTCATTAATAATGAGCTCCTTCTTCGGCTGCTGACTTAAATTCATTCTCTTTATTGCTACTTCCATACCAGTCGAACTTTCAATTGCTGTATAAACGGTCCCTGAAGCGCCCTGCCCAATCTTTTCCATTTTAGCGTACTTCCTTGTCGGATCACCCACGCTAACAATTGTTCGCAGCTTCTCAAGAATTTCCTCATCAGACATTTTCTTTTTCTTCGTTGAGTTGCGTGTTTGATTTGTCGGAGGTGCTTGCGGTTGCGGCTGCTGCTCAGTTGTCGTTATTGGTGATGTTACAGTAGTGTTTACAGTCACTGCTGTATTATTATTTGTCATCGTTGTGATTACTGGTGTCATAATTGGCGTTGTATTTTTATTTTTATCCACCGTAGGACTCTTCAAATTGTGATTAATATGCGGATGAGGCAGTGGTGACATAGGCGGTTCATCGACTGGACGTGTATACTACAAAAATTCATGAATATTAAGATAGTGCTGACTAGAATTAAAATTGATGACAATAGACTTACGATAGATTTTGTTCTCTCTGGTCGACTAGCAATTGGCGGTGCAATTTCCTCCTCCTGACCACTACTACGCGCCGAATTACTGATATTATGAAGAACATGATTATTTTGCATGGAAATTGAAGTAGGAATATTTGTATGATTGGAGTTAATTTGTTGCAGTACAACATGCCCGACGTGTGATTGCGACTCGCTATCTGTTGGTGTACTACTTGGACTTGAACTGCTTACACGACTCAATGATGAACCTATCGATGAAGCTAAATTCATGTGATTTTTTATGTCACACATAAATAATATGAAATGGTTTTTATATTTTTTGTAATTTTTTTGTTCATTCTCTTCTTCTTCTTGACTTTATAATGAAAAAAAGTAAGTAACAATAAACTACTTCTTGCTGTCATGAAATTACGAAAAAAAAAGTAAGTAGATGGATGGAATGAGCAGTTAGATGTGTGGAATTGTGGGAACCAGTGTTGTTAAATTTGATGACTTAAAAAGAATAAATTAATAGACATAATGTCTGAAAGTCTAAGAATTAAGCTATAGCTTTTATTTTAGGCCAAACCTCAATTTATCACGGTTTAAGGACCTATTTGATTTCAGAACCAAAGAATATGTTGTCGAAGTAGGATGGTATTTACAGTTTGAGCCATAAGGTCGTTATGGTCAAAAGGTTTGGCAATAAACTAGAAATCTCTAACCCTAATACTTCGCATTACAAAGAGTTGTGTCATTGAAAAGCCTTAGTTTTAGAATCAGTCTTAAACCTCCTAAAATAGCAACACTGGTGGGAACGTTAGACGACAGACAGGTAAGAATCACAGCAAGTAAGTAAGTTAATGGATAATGGACGAAACAGAAGTTGTTGGTAGTTAAGTGAATAGGTTAATTACGTACAGGCTCAAAGTACATACACATATATGGAAGATAAGATAGAGCATAGCAAAAAAGAATGAATTAAGCATAATTGAAAAATGGCAACAAATTAGTGAAGGTTAATTAACAGCATATTAGAAAGAATGGCAATGGAGATAAGTCAGTCATAAAGAATGGAAGAGTTTGATGTAAAAAATTATTTAATTTCGTAGAAAGTTTTGATGATGCTACATACCTGAGTGAGTTGTATTGTGCACTACAGGTGTCATATATTTCGAGCTAGGCCGCTGTTTTGAACTGTTGTCGAACCAGTTGAGCACATCCAGCACCGCTTGTGGATTCTTTTTCTGCTCCATTTTGCTAATGTTGCTGTTCATTAATAATACTGCCCATTGCTCTGGCATGCCCTATAATTGAATAGATAAAATAAAATTAATTAACAATCTACTCTGCATACTCTATATGTACACAAATGTGAAGTATGACATTAACTCATTGTAAGTGGAATAATAATGTCATTTCTTCTCATTAAGAAGTAAAGAGTCTAAGAGCTACTAAAAAGACCTTCATCATATGTTACTTGTTAAGTAACTCTGAGAAGAACAGTGCGAGCTTATGTTTGAAGAAGTTGTTTGAAGTAAATATGACAAAAAAAAAATATAAAGAATTAAATTATGCAAAAGTTTTTTTTTCTCACTTCTTTTTTTGGATAGACATATACTTGAAAAAAATTATTTTATAATGTTACGTCATGTACACAGGCATGCAAATTTGGAAAAGGAATACTTTTTGAAATTATAAAAATAGACATTTCACAAATATTTAGCCAAAAAAAGCTTCAATAAATGTATTTAACGCATTTTTTATAAACAAACAAGACCTTAATGAACTGCACTTTCGATGACTGACTGATTGATTGATTCAAAACATCAAAGCCCATCAAAGCATTTGAGTGAACAAATGGATTTTGAGTGAGTGAGTGGAATTGAATTAAATGTTGTGGATTGAATCGTTAGTCACTTTCAAGTCTGGTCAGTTTCAATTACTTTGTTTAATATTTTCAGATTTAAAATTTTCTTTTCATAATCTCAAGTTTGCTTTAAACGTCTTTTAAAATTTTAACAGTTATTTAAAATTTGAATTTTGTAATTAAGTCAAGACACAATTCAAACGTAGTCTTAGACACAATTCAAACGTAGTCTTAGACACAATTCAAACGTAGTCTTAGACACAATTCAAACGTAGTCTTAGACACAATTCAAACGTAGTCTTAGACACAATTCAAACGTAGTCTTAGACACAATTCAAGTTTTTGAATATCAAAAAATTCAAATTTTTGATTCCCAAGACACATTAAAATTTAAAGAAAGAAAATTTGAATTTTGAAATCCCGTTTAATTAATTTTAATGCCAAAAAGATTTTTTCTTTAAAAAATGCGCTACAGCCATAAAAAATAATAATCCAAATAATCCAATGCAATATAAATTCAATAATTTTATTATATTTTGAGAAATTGCCACAAACTGTCTTGGCTCTTTTTGGGTTAATGAATTAATTGCATGTAAAATTCTCTACATCGTTTTACGAATACGAAAAAAACTTAAAATAAAAAAAAAATCAAATTTTATGAAGAAAGGAAGTCTTTTATAAAGAGTACAGACAAGAATAAATATTTGAAAATTAAAAAGAAGCAAAAATATTTCATGTTCAATTATGAGAGAGAATTTTAATTTTCTTCACAATTATTAAGCAAATACTTACTTTCAGTGGCAGCTTGTAAAAGTACAAGACAAGAACGGTATAAATAAAAAAACGAATAAGGCACCGAAATAAGACAATCGCGATTGAAAACCAATAACGAAAATTATTCAAAAATTTTTAAGAAAAAAATGTGGATGGAAATAATTTTTGTAATGAGCATTGAGCTATATCGCGAACAACTGAGGTATGAATAAGTACGCAAAGAAATGAAAAGAAACAAAATATACTAAAAAAATTTACAAACAATAATATATAACTATGAATATAAAAATGGAGAATTGAAAAATTGTTTGAAAATCCGTAGTCAATATTATTGGATACACGAAGAATATTTTTTCTATTTATTTTACGTATAATAATGTCACAAAAGTCTTAAGAGTGGAAAAAGAAAAGATATTTTCTCAATAAGTCATTGGAAAGTTGGATGAGCAATTAATTATTGTGTATTTATTCCTAAACGCATTTATCTTGTTTTTTGAGAAATTTTAATAAATTTAGCAGTTTTTTCAAATTCGAAATTTGTATTTTAGACGAGATGCATGAATTTTTAACGAAAAATTACCGCTTAAATTAGCTAAGACATAATTAAAGTGTTATTATAACCCAAGACACCAAACTTAACGAATAAACTTTTGAATAAAAACTGTTTTCACTAGCAAAGACCCAATCGGAATTGATTTCAAATTTTTTCAGTTGCAAAGCTCACGAAAAAATAAAGAAAAACCAAAAATTCACGAGCTCAATTGAAGAAAAGAATTGTCATTAGAAAAAGTGACGCTAATTAAGCTATAAAATGTCGTTAACAAATAGTGAAGGTATACATGTGAATATTAAATCACTTGCTTAACTAGCTGTGACTCTCAAGTGACATTTGACTGCGTTAAAGAAGATAAATTGAAAGTATTGATGACTGTATAGAAATAGCTGCATACTGATTGTTATTTCATGAGAAATATTCGTTCAAATCGAATAAATAGAAATTAAATATATTATTGGTAATGTATGCAATGTCATGTGAGATTTTTCTTGAACATTTAATTCGAATTGAACCTGTTATTTATTTTTAATTAATTATTTGTGTAGCTAAAATTATGTATTTGGGCGTTAACTACATGAAATATGCAAAATATAAATAAACAATGAAGCAGTGCGATTACTATGAACTATGAAGTAAATTAATTAAATAAATCTAAAAAATTTTGCACTCTGGATTTTTTTTTTGCCTAATGACACAAATAACTAGTTTTCAATCGCACAGACAATAATTGTTCCAATTTCATACATTTGGAAATTTAATTGCATGTTTATAGCTATAGATTGTTTCTAATGAAATTAAACTTAAGCATAATTCATCACTATTATTATCATCATCAATTAATACAACAATGAAAGCGTAGCAGAGCGAAATAAAAGAATTCGAATAAATATAATAAAAAAAAATATAAAAATATTTATCATGTAGACGAGCGTAAAATTGTAAACTTACCGTAAATTCTCCTGTTACTGCATCAAAACCCACGTGCACCGTATGTTCGAAATTTGTCGGATATGAAATATTCGGTTTGGAGTCATTGTGTGATTTTGTTGACTTAATTTTACTCTTTAGTGTCTTCTTTTTACGATCTGGATCATCAGGTTCTAATTTGTTGGATTGTAATTGAAAATATACGAATTAATTTTTTAAGATGTCTCGGATACAGAAGTGCATCAAGGGTATAGAACTAATTATCATAATCTTTACCGATAATTTGGAACTGCACAATCACGTTTATAATAATTTTTGATCAGTTTACAGACTTGGGGTTTATGTAAGAACTATTGTAAACAGAGGTGGGGGGCAATTTTTTTGATTTAGAGGGCTGGGATCAGATTCTAGGGCTACTAAAGATATTCTATCCTAACACTACACACCGATGTATCTCATTTTGGGATGTAGCCTTAGAAACCGAATCCGTGATAGGATCCCCCCCCCCCGATGACACCAATATCACTCTAGTATCTAGAATATAATGATTAATGTGTAAACATACCTTTTGGTAATGGTTTTAAATCCGGCGGTGGTCCATCATTTCCACCTCGATTACTTGTCAATCGTACGGGTGGAGCTGGCGGCTTATCTTCCTCACTCGACATTTTCAGATGCTTTCACTCTCACTCTATGTATATAAATTATTGTTAAATATGTTGCTTCTCTTTGTTTCTCGCTTATAGAATATATATAATATTTATTTTATTATTATTTCTATGCTGCTTGCTGTTGTTGTTGTTCTTGATTTTGCTGCTTTTATTTTAGGTAGGTTTATTATTATTTAATGATTATATTGAACTAAACTTTGCTGTCTGTCTGTCTAATGTGAATTTCTAGAGATATTTTTAACTTAGTATATGCTTTATATCTTTTTTTTTTGTTCTCCTCCTCCTTCTTTTCTTCTAAATTATGTGTATAGAAATATAATAACTTTGTTTCAATAGAAACTTTTACTATTGTTGCCTGCTTGATATAAATGCCTTCTTTCCCTTTCACCGTCCTATGTGTATCGTCAATTCAAATGTTGCATATGATGAAATTCTAATTTAAGAATGTGATTTTCATCATCATTTCCATCATGATTCTCTCACATATATTCACGCATATATGTCGATATAGTTGTTAAAAACTATAATGTCTAAAAGCTTTTTACTCTCCTTCTA